AAACCACCAGTGATGTTTTTTAACTTGAATCACAGGCCGATGCCGTCATCCTCAGTGGGGTTTTAACAGCATGTCCTGATCGGTAGGTTAAAAGGCCACAGTTTATGGAGCTGTCCGTGGTCCTGACTGCTCCAAACATTAGACGGTGCTGAACAGGCAGCTGATGGTGCAGCAGCTATTAGTGGTGGGACAACAGTCAGGGCTCTGACTCCATTTGCCCATTCTCCAACCACATAAGTGCAGAACAGTCTTTTACACATGGTTGTTGGTATGCACACACAAACACACACACACACACACACACACACACACACACACACACACACACACACACACACACACACACACACACACACACACACATTAACTGATCCTTTTAAACCACTCAGCACAGTGGGTAGCAGCAGAGGGAATTATCTGTTTATAATATCACAATACTTCAATAAGATTGAAATAATCTGATACAGTAGCGTGAAGCCTTTTGTTTGAGGATCAGTTTAAACAACCAGTCTGTGCTGAACTTAATATATAACTTACAAAGGAAAACCAAGAGAAGATTATTCTTTTTCTGTATTTGGGTTGAGTATGAGGTGAGAATGTGGTCTTTATATAGACAGGCACGTTTAACTTTCACATGGCGATGCTGTTGCAAGACTGCATGTTGCAGAACCAATTACTGTATATATTAATGTCTATATATTTTAGGTACACCTTACTAATGTTAAGGGACATATGATTCATCTGTTTGTCTGTGAACTTACTGGTGCTCTCATTGAAGACCGCAGATGTTGTCAGTGTCTTTTCCATTGTGTTCCAAGTGGAACAAAGTGTTTCCACCATAATGTCTGATTAATGACAATCCCCCTGGGAGTTGAGGAAGAACAGTAGCAATCCTCTACCCCCAAGAATCTCATTTAGAGTCAGCGGTAGCCATCATAGAAATCTCTGTACCCATGATTTCATCCTTCAACTGTTCTCCATTATAACTGCAGCAGCTACTGGTTTATTCCTTCTTGAATACTATATTACAGTATTTACTATAACCAGTATGACCGAAACCCTGTGTTCCTAAATCCAAGATCCTTTCTGTGTAATTTTCTGTTGGCTTGCAAGAGGCAAGATTTGAATGTCGCAATTAATTCCCGTTGTTTTATTCTTAAGTGGCGTATCCACAATTCAAAAGCATCAACACTTCCTTAAATACATTTGAAGGCCTGCATCACTGTAAAATACAGCATGTTCAAGAATTAAAGCTTTTACTGCTAAAAACAGCTTAATGGGCAGAAGTAAATTTAGATTTGATTAAACAAAGCTGTGGTGTGCTTTGTAATGTGGAGAGGGAATTATTCTAAGATTCTTCCCATTCCCAGTTTGGATCAGTGTGAATACATGTCAGTAGATCCAAGTAAGTACGTCAGATTAAATAATTTTCAATGATGTTCCGCTCAACTCCTCATCATCAGGTAATCATACCCAGTGGAAAATACCTGCAACAAAATAAACATTTCAGATACCTACTTTTATCTTGTTGGCCGAATCAGAGTAACTTCCTGGTCTGCTTTGGACTAGAGCAAACAGAGCTCATGTGACAGAAAACATGATGCTGCAGTTTTTTCACAGACTGGCTGATGCAGTGACGCACAGTATTACAATAACCAGAGGCATTGTCTAAATCTAATATGTCGCAATTGTGTTATTTATGGTACAACTGGACTCCTTCCGCCTAACACAGCCCGATCACAAGATTGCCATAGAAAGATTGTCGTAACTTCAGTTATGCTCCACCCAAAATGTATCTCTTCAGTACCAAACACTCACAGCAGAGGCTGTAAAAGCTTTATTTCGCAGCTCTTCAAGAGGAAAAAGGAAAACATTAAGAGATTTCTCGAATCGCTCCTGCAGCTTCTCAACAATATTTGCACACAACCTTTTCAATCTCACGAGCAGGTGCTGGTGCTGGTGCTCTCCTATCTGTTGCCTGGAGAACTCTGTGTTCAGCTTTGTCAGCTGATCAAAGTAGACTCCAATCAACATTTGTTGAGGCTTCAGCTTCTTGTTGTGGGCTTTGCTTTAGTGCCAACTTTGCTTTTGCCTGTTTTTTTTCTCTCGAAGGGAACTTGATACACAAGCTGATAGAGTAAGTGCTAACTTGTGTCATCTTTCTAAAACACTTGTTAAATGTTAACTGAGGATACATTTTTATGCAAAGCTAACCATCTCTTGGCCGTTTTATATTTAGTGTGAGGGATGTGCGAGTGGTACCAGTCTTCTTATCCAACTCTTGGCAAGAAAGCAAATAAGTTTGGGAAATAGTCCTAATGCGGACACTTAAATGGATGCACAGTAGATTGTAGGGCTCAGTGAGTGGCTGGCCACTTTGAGCAGAGCTTATTTAGGGCCATGCGCTAAATTAGTGGGTTACAGGCGAGAATGATAATAATGGTGGTGATGGAAGGGAAAGTGCACACATCAGTTTGTGTTTGTGTGTGTTTGTGCATGTGTGTGTGTGTGGGGGGGGGAAGACAGAGATAGATGGAGAGAAAAGATAGAAGAGAAGGAAAGAAAGAAGTTGTCAAAGTGAATTAGTCATTAGTGGTGTTGAGGTCTCTCCCTCTAGCCTGTCCACTCTTTTTGCACGCACATATGGATCTCAAATTTCACAACCACGCACAGATTCACACATACACACACACACACACACACACACACACACACACACACAGACACGCCACACTTTTGCCCAAACACAGATCTGCACAGATGTCCTCTGAGTGCTGTAAATCCCCTGTTAGATTGTTGTTTTTCTTAAGAGAAGCCAAATTATCATATCCTTTATATATTCGAACCAGATTTTTTCTGTTTATTTGTGCATATTGAAGGTTTAAATTGGCACAGAAATGTGTGTGTGTGTGTGTGTGGGGTCTCCCTTGGCTTTGCACTATAGCACTGTGTTTACAAGATGTTACGGAGTGTTAAGCAGAGCTGTGAATGTGTGATTCACTGGAAGTAGAAGCAAGTGGAGAAGCAGACATCATTCCTGAGGCCCATGAAAAAGAAGCCTTTGTGTTTTAATTTTCCGTGTTTCTGTGTTCCTTTTGTTATTATACTGTGGCACCCTCAACCAAACTTTAAACTGTCTTTCGTTCGCCTTCCCGTCTGTGTCAATTGTCCCTCCCTCCCTCAAATCCTTTCTTTCCAGCTATCTTTACATCCCTCAAACCCCCCCCCACACACACACACACACACACACACACACACACACACACACTGCACTTCTTTATGGTGTCAACTACAAGGCCATGTCCTGGGGTGTCAGCACAGAGGACACATGCAGCTGGCACCTCACGATGTGCCGCGTCTCCATAATTACCAGTCAAAGGCTGAAGAATAAAATCATTTCTGGCTGCTACTGTAGCTAGGTGTGGCTCAGTAGTCTAACTGCTCTGTGGTCTGCAGCGATGTGCTGTGGCGACAGCGTTACACAATAAGAGCAGCAAGTGAACTCACTCACCAGTCTCTGTGTCTTCCTGTCCTTGTCTGTTCCCTACCTGTGTCTTGGTTTGATTGTGTCTTTCTCCGACAGCCCTGGCTGTCTCTCTGCCTGCACACAAAGAGATGGATGAACCTGGCTGGCCCCTCACTTTGTCTGTTTTTCTCCATTCTCCTCTTAGCTGGGGTTTATTGAGTTCCTTGATTTGTACTGATAAATTTGATCATAAACCTCTGAGCTGCACAATCTTTTTCTTGTGCAGAAGCTGGCGTACAAGGCTTGAACTCCTCTTTCGCTCGAGTATATCATAGAAATCAGGCACTAGAGAGGATATTGCCTGTGTGTATGGTGTATGCTAAATAAGACAGTTGTGCTTTATGGAGCTAGAATGCATCTTTTGCTAGTCAGATTGTGTTTCAGTCACTCAGAAATCTACATTTTTGCCAGTTTATTTTAAAACATACACATCTTTAGAAGGTAATTGGATTAAATCCTCTTTCGGAGACTATAAATCCACTTATTTTCATTAGGGGAATAAGCAATAGTTTGAGATAAATAAGGCATGTTAAAACAAAACCCCACTGGTCTTGAAGCCACTATTCACCCCGCTTGACGTAAAAAGGAAAACAAAAGCTGTGATCGACTACTGTGGCTTTTTGTTTAAAGACAAAGCTGAAAAAAGAAAAGACCCGACTTCTATTATAAAATTACTTATCCACGTCTTAAAGTCAGGATGCCGAGAATGACAATCAACAGTATGAGCTCAGTGCAATAGCATGAAGTGGTATTATGTGCCAGGATATGACCATTCGCAGTGAAATCACTCTTGAATGCTCAGAGCTGTGAGGAGAGCATTGCCCTAGTTTGAGTCTGGCGTAATTATGTAATGCTTGAGTACCTGCAGCACCAGCGGCATGACAACTTCTGAATGTGAATTTGGGCAGCGGAGAAAGTGCAGACAGGAACTGCACACCTCTTTTCAAGCCTTTTACGTGGTATGCAACTCAATCTTTACTCACATTATGCACTCATTTTCTTATTTAGCATTCGACTTCCATCCTTTCATCTCCTCAGCTCAGTTTCTTTTCCTGAACTATTTCTCCCTCAAACCTTTTCCCATTTCCTGTTCCTCGTTCCTGCCTTCCCTCCATCCCATCATCCTTCCTCTAACCCTCCATCCCTCTTTCTCTTCGTTTCTTCCCATGTCTCCCCCCTCCATTCCTAATGCCACATACCAAATGGAGGGTGACAGTATGCAGCTGTGGGTTTTGTCCTCCAGACAGCATCTTAGAGAAAAGCTTAGCCCCCCACACACACACGGATACAGATGGAGGGAGGGACCGGCAATAACCTGTGTCTTTCATCTGTCGCTTATATAATAGTTTTAAGACGGAGTTACGCCACGTGGCTTGCATACATGATGCATTCAGGGGTAAAAGTCTTTGCGATGAGGAAGTTCCCTTGTAACAATACGCTAAACTCTCTTTTCTTTCCCTTGTTTATTCTTCAGAAAGCGAAGCTCCATGCTGCCTTGCAGGAAAAAAATCGTCTGAACCTTGAGCTAATCAACCACCACCTGAAGGCATCCAAGTATGACCAGGTATGGCATTCACACATGCAGTGTTCAAGCATGTATTGCAAGGACACACACACACACAAATGATGATCAATGGTGAACCAGGCCATGATCTATGGTAGAATGTTTTTTATTTTGCACTGCTGGTGATATAGGGGCTACATATCACATGCACAATGTCTGTAATGGCTGTAACATCAGTCATGTGTTGGAATACGAGAGCCGTCTCAGATCAATACAGCTGCAACCTTGTTATCATCGTCACATATGTTATCATGCGTTGCCTCTTCATATTCTTTATATATATATTTCATATATATATATATATATATACATATTACTTCTCCACATGCACGATGTACACATGTGCCCTTCGGCTTTACTGGCACCGTCAGACAGAGTCTCCCACTTCACACATGCACACATAAATATGCACACAGGCCCAGACGGAGACAGTCTGTGATTGTAGGCGATTAGCTACTCTGGCGCTAATAGTGACTCTCACAGAGGGGGCAGATTTGACACGTGTCCAGGGACTCAGCCCAGAGCTTTTGCTCCACCATGCCACACAAAAAGATGCCATCTGTGCACCAACAAGGTGGGCACAGAGATGAAAAGGAAGTGGGGCAAAAGTGCATCCAGTCCTGCTAGATATACAGTATGAAAGTGCGACTGGCATGTAGGGGGCAAAGACATCATGTAGTGGACTGTGCACGGAGAGAGAATAAAGAAATGAGGGAAAAGCAGAACCTGCGTGTGAAATAGGAAGAGAAGAGAAACAAGACAGTGTTTATCATTGGAGAAAGTAATCACACAAAATGAATTATACTACTATCTGACAATTTCAAAAGACAGTGAATATATTATGACTCAGAATCATAGTCTTTATTGCTGGGGTTGTATTGTTCATGTTTTGTCCACCTCTATACAGATTTGCCAATGATGAGTCAGCATGATTTGTGCTAACCTTTGAACAAGTGTTTGAATATTAACAAAATGCCAAATAAATAGCACAGCTAATAATAATATACATATCTTAAAGGGAGACACTAAAGCCCTGGTGCACACTGCCCACCTGAGCAATGTGTTGACGGCTGTGACGCTGAACAGCTGTGTTTGGCATGCTAGGCGGTGTTTATACTGACAGCGTATCAGCTGCGTGGCTGCTGTGGGGCTGCTGCCGCCAGCCCTACCTTTCTATACTGAGTTTACCTTTGATAAATACCATACAATAAAAGCCTTGTTCACATATGAATGGATTCTGTCCACAGAAACACCAGAGAGCTGAAATCTGAAACAGATACAGGAGGTGTTAAAAAAAAAAAAAAAAAAAAAATTATATATATATATATATATATATATATATATATATTTCCATGTCTGTGACATATTCTACATATATAGACATTGAAACTGTAGTGAAAGGTGTATATATTGCTGGTATAATTTTGATAGAACTATGAACAGACCCTTTTCAATGTCTATTTATTATTTCTATCTAATGTCCGTAACAGAAAGAGGGACTGCTCTAATCTGTTAACATGGACACCGAATTAAAAAAAGATGTTCCCCAACACGTCTCTCAGGTAGGCAGTGTGATTGAGCTATAGCTCAGGTTTTATTACAATGCTACAGATTTTTTTAAGTTATTTTTTTTGGCCTTTTATTGCCTTTATTTGATAGATACAGCTGAAGATAGACAGGAAAGGGGGGCAGAGAGAGGGGATGACACGCAGCAAAGGGCCGCAGGTCGGATTTGAACCCTGGGCCGCTGCACTCAGCCTTAGTACATGGGTCGCCAGCTCTATCCACTGAGCTAACAGGGCACCAATGCTACTGATTTTAATGTTTGAGTTTATGTTCTGTTCCGAGATTATTGCTGTAGTTTTAGAGTTTCTTCTTCTTTTCTAATTTATCATGTAAAGCATGTCTAATGCAATAAAATAATAATAATAAAATATATTATTATTATTATTATTATTATTATATATTTACCGTTTGTCCATCATGACATACTTAGCTCCGATGGTACTAGAGCTTCCGGCTCCAGCTCCAGTCATAAATTCCACAATATGAATTAATGAGCTTATCTATTGCACGCTCATCTGTTATGTTAGTTAATGAGATGATTGGTGTGTGGCTGAGGGATGGTTTCTGCTCGATCCTTCGAGGCCACCTTTAGAGGAACCAGCTTAGCTCAAGGCCCCTGACTGATGAAGAAAACGAGAGGCAGAACGCTCAAGTCAGCAGCTCTGTCTCATCAAGGCTAAATGGAAATGTGCTGATTAATTTCTCTTCAGACTGTGAACTCCCAATCAACCCTCCAGCCAAAAAAGAAAAAAAGAACTCTATTCATAAATGTGAAAAGTAGGTCTACTGAAAGAGCAAACCTCATAAAAATTGCAGGCTTGTTTTCCTCTTTAAAAAAAAAACACAATAATGGTTACATTTTGAAACTCTTCAAGTAAAACAGGAAATTAAAGCGTGTTCCCTCACTTTGTTGTGTTTTTTTTGTTTGACTGCCTGCACTGCCTTTTATATCTGTGTTGTTAATAATCCTCTTTACCTTGACCTCTTTTTAAAATCTTTTTCTTCTTCTTCCTTCCTTTGCATCTGGACTCTTTCTGTTTATGTAGGTGCGATCAGACTATGACCAGCTGAGAGAGACCTTTGCTGTAGTGAGCCAGGAGAGAGACGTGGCCCAGCAGCAGAGGAGCCAGCTCGAAGACAAAGTGGAGAACCTGGAGCAGGTTCTGAAGGTGAAACGTCCCTCCATTTACGTTTGCTTTTATCCTCCTCCTTCATCCTAAATACAATCACTTTTGTCTTCCTTTTTAATGTTGAGGGAAAGCTGGGAACTTGCAGCTAACACCAGCTCTTCATATTTCTCTTAACCCTTTTATTTCTGAGTCTTTCAATGTCTCCTCCCTCTACTATAGTATATATTTCATAATATGATCCTGTAGAGCTCTCAGTTGTCTGGCAAAGAGTGTGGAGTAAGAATGTGGCCAGCTCCAGATAACTTAATAATGCCAGAAAGCAATTTTGAGTATTGAGGGAGAACTCTTGTCAGTGTGTGCTCTTACCTGAAGAAACTCTTGATCAAAGGAGTTCAATTTAAAGAATTTCAATTTGCCATTTTTCATATACCACCCCTAAGGAACAAATGTCCTTTCTCTACCCACAGAAGGGAGATTTAATTATCTACAGTTATGGATTAGATAATATAAATTATTCTAAATTTAGTTCAGGGATTAATGCCAAAAATCTGCAATAGTTCCTTCTCGTCTCTCTCGTTCTTTGGTAGAGAAGACCACTGAGCAATATGTCTATACGGTTCAACTCTTTTATCCTTTATCTTCCTTTCCACTGAGTCTATCTTCCCACTTTTTCACTGACATACTGTATATCTCACCACATTTCTCTAGAATGCCCATCTCCACTCATTCATCCCCCACTCACTTCAGTGGTTCTACTTGGCTCACACCATTCATCAGATTTGGAGACTTTTCAGGCCCAATTTTCACTGCCTCCTTTTGGAAATATTCCCATCCTCCATGTGTTTGTTTGCTAAGAAAACTTTAGAAGGAAAGTGATGCAACTCATGAGGTGAAGTGTCATCGGTTTCATGGAGAGGCTCTTTTTTCATCGTGTTATGGTCTGCCAATAGTAATCAGACACAGTCTCACTGCATTGTGAGAGGCACTCTCATTACAAATCCTCGCCTCCCTGCATCTCCTATCGATTGTCTGTTTGTCAAGATATTTGAGAGAGAAATGTACCCATCTGAGAAAAACTGACCCGCTCCCTAATACAGCAAAGAAAGGTTTGTCACTTTCTCATTGTGTATTGATTGTGAAGACAAAGAGACTATTTAGAGGAAATTACACAGGGCGATGTGGGTGGAGAAAGCAGAGATGGAGGAAACACAATATGAAAAAAACACAGAAAAAGACACTTAATTTTCTTGGTTCTTCAGTCAAAACTAATGAGATAAAGAAACTGTCAATCTTGGTTTTGAAGTTATATAATCTGGCTTGTTGTCACATTTCTATGGGGGAATTGGGACATGAGTCAGCATAGCTATCTTATTCTGGGCCTTTCTGTCATACAAGAAGGTGTAAAGGGCAATACGCAAGACAGATGGCTAGTGGCCCTTAAATAAATAAAAGTTCCAATTATCACTGAAGAGGGTAATCCATCTAACTAAAAAGTGCTAGTAGCAGCTAATTTAGCCTTGAGCCACTTGCCTCAAGCAGAGATGAGGTGCAGACTACAGAGGTCTGGTAAGCTCCCTTCTTTTTGACCCCACACCCCCAGATTTCTTTCAACTTGAGGTTCACTTGAGGTGCACCCCCCTCTGAAGCAACAAAAGGCTTTATATAACTTTTCACTTAAGTCACCTGTAAACAGACTTTGATGTGTAAAATAAGTCTAATTCAAGTCCAAATCTCAGGCTCCAGTTCTCAAGTTCAAAGTTTCTGCTAACAGTACACATCACCTGTCTCAAAAATCCCTGTCTTTACAGTGTTGTGTACCACACAAATGCCCCTTTTCACGACCTTGTGGAGGATCTCCTCTTGCATTGCGGCTTCAATAATAGGAATGGAGGTTGGAAGTAGTCGCAGGCTGGAGCAGCAGGCTCGCCTAAGGCAGGTTAAATGTCTGTTTCTGTTTCAACATGACATCGCGTGGTGGTGTGAAAATGTATACGAGTTCATCAAGCCCTCCTTGAATGTGCAAGTGTTAAAAAAATAGTTTTCACTGAGGCTCCTGTGACAGCCTCTCAGCCAGCCCAGTCCTGCAGCTTAGAGCTTCTCTCTGATTATGCAAAGCAGTGGCTGCCTGCTCAGGACACCTCGAAGCCACTCCGGGAGGTAAAGAGGCTTTTCTTTTTTTCAAGGGAGAGAGAACACAGAGAGAAAATGATGAATGTCAGAGCTTTCTAAGCTGTCTTTTCTTTTTAAGCCTGCAGAAACATCTTATGGCCTTAACTCTGTTTCTGCAAGATGTGGCAGCTTGTCGTGACTCAGTGGATAGATAGTATATAGTCATGACTCGGCTAATTTGGGAATGGGTAGATTTGGGATCAGCGTGGGTGACCAAGTGTGAAAGCTTTGTCTGAGTCAGTTCGGAGTGTACAGTAGGATGCATCTGATAGATATACAAATTATATAAAAAGCTCATACTGTATAACAATCTTTATACTTAGGCTTATTTGCTTTCACGTCTGTATAGTAAATATAATAGCTGGGCCGCAATGCCTACAGTGCAGTGTGCGGCGGCATCCTCGCTGAACTACTGCGGCTCGCCAACTGCGGTGTCCACAAAGAGGGATTCTGCAGCTGTGATGCTGCAGCCAGCCCTATCTTTCTGCACTGAGTTTGCCTTCCATAAATACAATACAATAAAAGCCTTGTTAACAAATGAATGGATCCTGTCGACAGAAACACTAGAAGGCTTTTAATCTGAAATAGATAGAGGAGGTGTTGAGTTAAAAATGTATTTATATTTGTTTTCATGTCTGTGTCATATTCTACAGATGTAGTACGGCGTGATGTGAAAGCTGTGTGGCAGCTCTAACCTGTTAACACGGGTCTCCGAAATAAAAAGCAAGAGGCTGTGTGAGACACACGCAGCGCTCACGTGGGCAGTGTGTCTGTACAGCCAGCAGATGATAGCTTAGCTTAGCTTAGCATAAAGACTGGAAACAGCTAGCCTTGCTTTGTTCAAAGTTTTTGTCACCTTAAAAGGAGCTGTTTTGATCTGCAGAGGGAGCATGTCCTCTTCTACTGCCCTGTTGAACCGCCATGTTTCTACTACACACTTGGAAAGAAAGTATACAATTGGTTGCAATCCGCAACTTTACAGCTAGATACCACTAAATCCTACACGCTGGTCCTTTAATTAGCTCTTTTCTTTGCTATATTTTGTGTGCATTTCTTCCCCACAAACATCAGAATGCAGTGTTGCCTGCAGCTGATTGCCATTCAGGTGGATTGGGTTACATTTCCTCAAAGGTATCGTTGCCACTGTGGTAGCCAGCCCACTTCAGAATACACCCTCCTTTCAGTGCCACAGATAGAATAGTTTAATAATTTTCCTGGCTTCAATAGAAAAAGATTGTGGTTGGGTATTTCTTTTGGGATACTGTAAAAAAAAACCAACTCTGTATCTCTATATAACATCCTTCAACGTAACCACATCCTCTCCCTCTGTCTGTTTCTCCCCAGCATATGCATGAGGCTGTAGAGCTGAAGCAGCAACTGCAGATAGAGCATGAGCAAGCCTTGGTGGCCCTTCACACCAAGCAGAAGGAGATCAATCAACTGCAAAAGGTATGGACATACGGATTAAGATAAAAAATAGAAAATTTAAGTTTTTAAACATTTGACCAAAGCCTTCTGGGTCAGAAGGAGCAGTGAGGAACTGAACCTCCGTGCTCAGCAACTGATGTGTCAGTAGCCAGTTTGTGCTGAATCACTGTCATTGAATCAGTGCTACTGTATCAGAAAATATAAACACCTCAGAAGCCTGTCCAAAAATCAGCAGATTTTATTAGAAATGCAGTTTTAGCTTGCAACACCTTTCATGTTGTTTGATAGTGTGCTAAAAATGTTGCCTTTCTAGTTGTTGATAAATTTATACACCTTGTGAACATCTTTCAGTGTGCAGATGTTACTGGTACCTTTTAAGACTGGGAAAAAACTTCAAATGTCACAAGGGACACATGGATTTAAAGGTCCACTGCGTAACATTTAGGAGGATCTATTGGCATAAATGGAATATAATATTCATAGGATTTTTTTCAATACTGTATAATCACCTGAATATAGGTTATGTGTTGTTACCTTAGAATGAGCCTTATGTATCTACAGACGCTGCAGGTCACCTTCAATGGAGTCCGCCATGTTGAACTGCCATGTTCTACAGTAGCCCAAAAGGCACAAACCACACTAGATTCAGGCATTTGCGTATTTCACGTGTTTCTTGGCCACTGTAGTTTCTCCTTTGTGCTTGGAAGGGGAGAGTAAAGCGAAGGAGTTGTGATCTGCAACTACACAGCTAGATACCACTAATACTAGACACTGAACCTTTAAATTACACGTGCTTTGGGCTATATCTGGCCCAAGTTTGTGGCTAAAATTATTGTTGATTTAAGAGTTTGTGAATTTTGACCTCTTCAGTCTTGAATTAAGAAATATGTAGTTTTAAACATATTTGTCCTGTTGCGGCTTTATGTACTGTTAATTGTTTACACAGCGTAGGAGGACAAACCAAAAAGCCCATTCAAAATCCTCTTACTTTAATGACTGATAGATATATTCTCAAAATACTGGATTAGAGTAGTCTAGCTTTAATATGGCCATAAAAGAGATGAATAGTGAATTCTTCCTCAGAAATCTTTTTTTTTTTCTGTCAGTTGTCTGTATGTACGTACCTGCTTATTGTCCTGTATTTGCATTGATGCTCAAAGAGAAACTATCAGTAATTAACAGTCGAACAGACACAAATATATCCAAATAGTGGCTAAAAAATGGTTAATTACACAGAGGTTTTTAAAGTTGAGAACTGTAATTTTACTTCTCCTACCAGCCACTACTTACCCCACTAACCCCACACACTAACGTACCTCTGATGAATAACAGTTCATCAGAGCAGTGCCATCAGGAGTAGGCATCTCTTCAAGTACCAGTGCTGTGATCCACCAGTGAGCCTCTGCCAGGGTATTGACTTGACAGTATGTCAGCTGTGTGCTGTCTATTCTACCTCATGGACTGTGATCACAGTGTCAGCTGTCATTGTGTGTTTCTGTTCGTTCTCTTCAAGCTCGGGTTCAAGCTGACCAAGAGCACGAGGAAGCAGTACACCTGTTAGAGATACAGTAACGTGAATAAACACAGATCTTTACCTTACCTTTCCAAAATGTGGTTTCGAGCTCCTCGGGATGTATGATGTAGTATTATACAGATGTGGAATAAGGGGTCCTGCAATGTTAACTGTAAAAAGCAATGAATATCAGTTTAATGTAGTCAAAAGTTGCTACTAGATAGAAAACTAGTTTAACAAATGTCAGCTTACACACACACACACACACACACACAATGTTATTGATTAGAAAAATCTAATGTTGGAAAGACCCTGCACCAGTCACACTTTATTACTCTGGCTGATTGCACCTCAGCTGGGAATTGACAGCTTGCTAACTTACTTTCTGTCACTACGCCTGTGAAGCTTTCTGTTTCTTTTATGATGATAACAAAGGCAAATGCTCAACATTTTTAGGAACTTTTTTTAAAACAATATGTATATGCTTGATTTTACATAAAACAAAAATGTTTTGTTGCACCAGCTAATGACCTGTATAGAGTAGAGAACATGTAAATAGATAACAGCAAATGTTCTAGAGAGCTAGTTTGTCCTTAACATGGAAAAATGAAAAATCTGATTGTTATTTTCTAATATGTTCGGCTGCTTAGCTTACATAATTGTTTGTATTTTCTTCATTTTTAACATCACAAGAGTAATTGCTTTTAGGCTGAGGATAAATCAATGTCTGTGGAAAATGTTAAGCTATGTCTGTTAACAAGTGTAGTTGGGTTTGCTGTGTAAAGTGTAAACTTCCCCAAATCCAGTAAAGAGCGGGACAGGGCTGCTAATGTTAGACGAAACTCTGATAGCTTACAGGACCAGTTTCACAGTAGATACTATAACTCTTTGCTCTCTGTATCCTACTTTAAAAAGCACCTTAAAAACCAATCGTACGCTTGTGTTTATATATAATTTTTTCTGTTATCTACCTCTTTCCCATTTTCGTCTCCCTTTATTAAACAAGTTTGGTTGCTTGCATGCTTTTGTCAAGTCCACAAAAGCAATGAGTTGTATTTTATAGATGAAAAATGACACCATCAGTAATGCTGCAAAATGATGATGATTTATAAGGGCTGAAAGTCTCAATTTGCTGCTCACTATAGAGTCATCTATTGAGTGTCCGTTATATAGTACACAGCTCTAGTAAGGACAATAAAGGTGTGAGCAAGTGCACCAACTTAAAAAGACATTAAAGAGATGGCAATAAAGCACAGTAACACATGTCCACACAGCCCTGAGAAGATGTCTAATCAGGGCAAATAAGTCAATACGTATTCGTGTTGTGGGTGGACAATGAGTGTGTAGGGGCCTTGCTGTTAATCTAGATGAGACAATCCTTAACCTGTGCAGAACCTGTTGGATAAACGCAGACTTAAACCTTCAACTTGTGTCCTTCTTTCATGTTTCTGGATCCTCTTTTAGCGCAGGTTCCGCAAGACACTTCATTCATTCTGAATGTCAGTGAGATGTATACTGTAGGAACATGGTCAGGGTGCTGGCCAGTGCACTTGGCCCTGATACAGGTGGTGTGGCATAAATTATGGCTTCCACAGAGAGTACCCTGGCCTTTTTCTGCACAGAAGCAATTGCTGTAAATGCTGTAATACCGTGTAAGTTATTCAATACTCCACACCAGTTTGTGACTCATACATTAAAACAGTTGAAAACAAACAGCAGCTCAGCCTCTGTGCTTGCAGTTATATTACCTCTTCCTTTCTCTTTCTGTAGGTTTTCCGTACTCTTGTGTTAAATATTATTCCAAACTTTTCTATCACTGTAGTTGCAGACTCGTACATCCCATTAATCCCATTAATCCTGTATCCAGGCTGACCTTGAATACTTTATAAATTTCCCGACCTGCTGTGTTTCATCACAGTCTTTAAGATGCTTGTCACCGGCTCATCTACTTGAAATTATTTTCTCATTCCACTCTAAATCCTTTTGTCACGACAACAGTGTGTAGACTCCTTCGAGTGTAGTTCAAGTGAGGTCATGTTATTATCCAGCTGAAGCACTTTAATACGATTTTACTGAGCAAGCAGCCCGAGTTTGGCTCAGACAAACATCCAGAGTTTGGTCGGAAAAGTGGAAACTCCGCTGTTAAGGAGTTACTTGCTTCTTGCAAATTCATTGAATCAATTTAAACACACATACATACATACATACATACAAACTTCACTGTCTTTAGGGTCAAACAAATAAACAAACCTTTGTATTCTGTTTTCTTTGACACCATAGTCCTCAATCATTTTCTGTTTGTCAGGCTTTTTCAGTTCTTGCTTTTGTATATTTATCTGCACTGATAAATATATTTTGCATTTTTCTTTTTCTCCTTTGCATCAATTACAATTGCATTTATTGGTGTTATGTTTTTTCTTTCCATTTTTCTTCTTTCTTTACTTTTTTTCTGTTTCCCTCCTTTTTGTCTGAACAGAACAATAAGGACAGAATGTTTCAGGTATTTACTTTCCTCCCTGATTAGTTTAATCTCCTTTCAGTTGCATGTGTGAATTTTCAGCAAATCACTAAAGCTTTCAAAGCCTTTAGTGGGTATTTTGTGCAAATTGAGAATCCATATGTTCCCTGAAAGAGATTGAGCACTACTATACTCACTGTACACCTCAATCCATCTTCCTTGACTTCCTCTGATATGATATCTATGATATAGCATCTTTAATGTCTATACTGTTTTATAATCCTCTTAACACTTTGCAGTTCTCAGGCTTTGTTATCAGAGTTCAGCAGTGTACTATATCAGCTGCAGCTGTGCAAATGACTCTACTCTTCCATATGCTTTTATTAGTGCAGTGGTTAACAATATAACATGCTGCTATAAGCTCAAAATGGCTCTTTAGGGATCCTTTTCTAATTGGTTCTGTGGTTGATCAGCATTAATAGATGAAACGTTGGCTGTTCTTCAGAGAATTCATATCTGAACATTACATGTGATGAAGTACACCCCATGCTTTGTGTGTTCCCCTATGATTCAATCTTTATCTCCTGCTCTCTCTTTTTTTCCCCCACTCCCTCCTCTGGGCCATTACCACCCTCTCCGCTCTCCTCGTTGTCTACGAAAGGTCAGGGTTCGTGACCTGGAGCAGAAATGCAGGTCACAGAGTGAACACTACAACCAGCTGTCCAAAGAGCTGCTGAATTTCCATTTGCAGTCGGATACTGTGGACATCCTTAAAATTAATCCCACTTCCACATCCCAGATTCCTCTTTCGCGACAGAAGAAACTCTCACAAGTTATTGTTGGAGCCCAGCCAGAGACAGGTAGGTCAGTGTTTTGAGCTTTAGCTTTGATTTCATTTTTTTTTTTACATTTTCTGCAATTTCTTAACTTTATTGTTATTATAATAGTATTAGTTGTAGTTGCGTAAAGCCTTTGGCTCCTGAGGCAGCTGTGTGTGTAGCATAAGACACCCAATTCTCCAACCGCACTGTTGGTGGTCGAGTTTAATGTAGGCACCAGGTTTTGACACAGAAGAAGAATGCGTGGAATAAGAAAAGACGATGTCTCCGGTTCTGCTGCATTGATTTGATACTTTTTTCGGGGCGTTTATTTTGTGTATTATAGGAGTGCAACGCTTAATCTGTAGAGTGTTCTTTAAATAGTAGCAGAAAGTGTTACTAAAACATCAGGGTTAAATGGTCTGCTACCAGTGGGGTCCACCCATTATAAGAAAATGTATGCACTCTAGACACTGTGGATAGAAGCATCCACCCAATTACATGTGATCAAAAGGCTTATGAATGAAATGAGAGTCACAGTATTCTAATTCCCTGACAGCTCACATAACAGCTGGATCAGCTCACTCCTGACCAGAGGTAGACATCATCAATGGCAATACTGGTTATTTGTGATCAATATCTACCCTAATTGATCACAGGCGTGATGTATGACATGAATGTGGTTCAACACATTAGTATTCTAACGAGACATAGTGGAACCTGCAGAGCCAGCAGATACAGCCATATCAGCGATGTAGATTTATACAGTCTGGCACAGACCAAAGGTCTTTGAAGTGCTGGAAATCCTGTTTTATCTTTCTCTTCACTTGAAACAGAGGGGGAACTCACTGATGCTTTTGTGCTAATACATAATATTACTCACTTATAAACCACAAGAACCCTCGGATACAGTGGATTCATGTTGTTGACTTACTTTAATTTCCTCAAGGAATTCAGCTGTTTGCACTCTTACACTGCAATTTTCAATTTTGTATTTCCTGCATCTCCTTTCAAGTGTGTTTTTTTGCCCAGAGGACCTGAGTGGTATTTAAGGGCAAATGCATTGCAGATGTGAGGTGTTGATGGGGGTGGAGAAGCCTTTGCCATGAAGAGTGTTTGCTGTACACTTGCTTCAACAGGAGATCAATAGCTGTGCAATGAGCAGCAAATGGGTGCAGAAGGAATGACAGTTGCTCTTTATTTGCTATGGAAATCAATGTCTCCCAGGCGATGAGAGCGCGGCAAACACGCCGCTACTGATCTCCCAGTTCTTGCCCTGCACACCACTGACTGGAGACAGAGAAAGACCAAAACTGTCTGTCAATTCCAGTACCGTGATAACGGACCGACCCAGCAGCCCTCGACAGCTGACCCTCTCAGAGGTGGGTCTGAGTGACACCACATCACTAAATTTCATCACACTAACGCATGTATGACTCATCATGTCTTCAAGATAGATGACAACATTACCCTGACTTATATAGTCATGTTTGCAAACTTAATGGTTTACTTCGCCTATTCTTGGGTTGACTAATTATGAACGGTACATGTAAATGTTAATGACATTTATCTTTTGTTCTTTTTGTCAATCTACAGATGGAGGATGAGGCCAGCCCATCACCCAGGTCCAAGCCTCGCTACACAGGCCAGGTCCGCCTTTGCACTGCCCGTTACAGGTAAATGAGAGCAGCTTCAGGAGTGCGTTTATTTAATTGCACATAATCTTTTTAAGTTTACTAACAAACAGCTTTATCATTTCCAAATGATAAAAGCTGCTGTGGTGAAATCTGTGAACATTTCTCCTTCCAGTTACAACCCTTATGATGGACCAAATGAGCATCCTGAAGCAGAACTCCCCCTTGTTGCTGGAAAGTATCTGTACGTGTATGGAAACATGGATGACGATGGCTTTTATGAAGGTAAGAAAAACAAGACTCCAGGATGACATGGAAAATAATATCAGCATTAACTGGCATGTCAAGCAAAGGCAGGTATCTAAATCACAACTGTCTTAAAAATATTACAGTCGATACATCAAAGATTGCAGAACAGCAGGAGGTGTCTTTTGTTGCTTTTCAAGTCTATGATTTTGCCTGAGTCCTTGTCTACTGCTGTTGCAGAGAATGCTTGACAGTCACAACAAGCGTGTGCATCATCGCATATTAATTATCGCACAATGAGACAAAATCCCAAGAAGTGTGTGTCAGCACACAGTTATCCCTCAGTGAATTTGTTCTATTAACAGTATTTAGTTTGGCAAGTAAATCCCCTCAGCAACCTTTGCAAACTGTTACTTTTCTGTGTATTATGTGTATATGTATAGTTGTATAATAAGAATAATAATACAACTTTACAGTAAAGAACAAATATTAATTAATTACAAATATGACATCCTGTTATGACCCATTTTGGTATCAGTGTTTGTTATTATTTATTAGTTACTTTGAAGCTGTTCAATATTCCACTAGGTGATTTGATTATCCTGGGTGCACCAGTGTCACCAGCAAAACTTCCCATACACTTTTTCTAACTAGTGACTGGAGTGATTCTCTGTCTAATCTCTTTAGAATTATGAAGGCTTCTCCATCAGAGGCAATCCTAATCCCCCCAGATAGCAATCCTGCAGACAGCACAGCCCGCCACAGACACAGTAGTACTCAGCTGCAGTGATTCATCAGCTGTGGGCGGTCAGATTGCATGGCATCGTGGAGGAGCCTTGTATTTACCACGCAGGAGGGAGACTCAGGCCTCAGACCAAGCTGTTGTCAAGATGGGACCTTGGTCCCTTTTAGCTTGATGACTAATCCAGCGGGGCTCAGTTTAATCATCAGCACACACACACAAACCTGCACACAAATGCGCAGACACACACAGATGGTCTTAAGGTCTCTCAGACCTCTGTGGAAAAAGGGATTGAAGGACAAGATGATAGGGAGCTTTTTTGAAGACAAACTTCTTCCCTTTGGAGAAAAAAGCTACAGTGAAAATCTAAGTTGTTTTTTTTCTTTTGCATTGACCGCAGCATCTACATGCTCTGGGGTGTTCCTGGAAATGTTCAAAAGCAGTGAACTGAAGTTGAAGTTCTTCGAAATGTTGAAAAGGAGTTTTTTCTTAGTTCTGGAGAGAGTACAAAAGATAGCATCAGAGAACCAGTGGTAAATCTTACATCTTAGGGAATAGTACATACTGTATGTTTATGTATCTCCCACCTTTCACTCACTGACTCATTGCCAGCCTGCAAGGGAAATAGCTCTCACTGATGATTATGTGTATTCAAGTTACAGCTTACCTTTTGTCTTGTCTTGTAAGGAGCCATTAGTGAAACTTAAATTCAACATATGCAGGAGGCATCACAGAGGGACTGTTGTGCTGTCCCATAGACAATTGAAGGGTAGTATTTTCAGGTAGTTGGCATTAGTGTTTTTGTTCATCAACATGAACATGAAGAAAGAGGCACAGAGTTATTTATCTTCGACATCTGCTTCTCTACTTCTTTCTGTGTCACAGGAGAGCTGCTGGATGGCCAGCGAGGACTTGTTCCTTCCAACTTTGTGGAGTTTGTCCAGGACAAGGAAAAACCAGCTATTCTGTCGGGGGAGGGAGGGGATGATCTGGGCCCACTGGACCATAACCCCCTGGCCTTGACAGCAGTGGATGGAGGTGCCTCCCAGGATGGCCTCCTGGGCTCAGCTAATGCCTTGGTTCCCTGTAGCAATGGGACAGGGGGGCCCCTGGACCCTGAGGACATGGCTGAAGACGTTGTGCCTTACCCCCGAAAGATCTCCTTGATCAAGCAGCTGGCACGGAGCGTCATTGTGGCCTGGGAGCCTCCATATGTGCCTTTGGGCTGGGGGAACATCTCTGGCTACAACGTGTTAGTAGACGGGGAGCTTCGTGCCAGTATAGTGTACGGTGGCCGGACCAAGTGTTTGCTGGAGAAACTGGACCTGGACGGCTGCGTTCATCGCGTGTCGGTGCAGAGCATCACCGACCGGGGCTTGTCAGACGAGTTGCGCTGTACCGTGCTGGTGGGAGCCAATGTGGTGGTGGCGCCGTGTGGTCTGCGGGTGGATGACATCCAGCGTGACACTGCTGAGCTCTCCTGGTTACCTAGCAACAGTAACTATGGTCACACTGTGTTCTTGGACGGGGTAGAGCACGCAGTGGTAAAGCCAGGAAGGTATAGACTACGCTTCCTCAACCTCAAGCCCCTGATGGTGTACAAAGTGACGGTGGTGGCACAGCCGCACCAGGTGCCATGGCAACTGCCGCTGGAGCAGAGAGAGAGGAAAGAAGCTGGTGTGGAGTTCTGCACTCAGGCTGCAGGTCAGTAAAGATCATTTCTTTACATAGAGATATAGTTTCAGTAATGTATTCATAGCTCCATATCAGATGGTCGTCAGTAGTATTTTGTGTTTGCTTTTCACGTTTTAAACAATCTTGCATGAAGGACAGATGGCGATGACAGACTGCTACTACTCTGTTTATTTCAGTTTGCTGTAATCCAGCTTTAATATGTAACATAATGCCATATTATTTTAAGGTTATTGTACTGTGCTGTGGAAGAGTACAGCATTGCCTTACCGTGCCATTGTTGTGTATTGTATTTTGTCTAGGTCCAACACCATATTGCAGAACAGGTCAGAATAAAACATCAGTCCTGGGCTGGGTTTCCCGATATATCTGAGCACTAAATGATTTTCTTCTCTTGAAAACCAGTGGGCAGAGATGACATTAGTGCTATGATACTTTTGGAAGAGGGTTGTAGTCTTGACGCCGAGAATGATTATGACATATTGTTCAATATGAGCAATCAGTGAAGGGATCTGGGCAAAATTATTTTTATATGGTTCTCAGATGGAAAAAACATTTTCCATCTACAAACAATGTTGTCATTCATGCATCTATTGAGACACAGACTTTGTGTTTTGAAACCAAATTCAAATGCAATTTTGCCCAAGTTTGCTTACTGCACTGAACACACTAATTAGACAACAGCCACGCATCACAAGATATGATCAGTTATTATTCTGATGAGTCATTTCCTCAGCCTATAGCCTAGCCTGTAGTAACCATTGCTATATAAAGCAGTGCCACTCGACTGCTCACTGAAATTACCATTTTGTGTGAGTGTGCATTTGCTTCTGTTTGAATGCAGTTGTGCATGTTTTATCCAGTGATCCCGGAGAGTGGGAGACAAAGAATGGGCTGTATAGTTAGTCTCTCTGGATTGTGTCCTGCATGCAGAGACAACAGTGCTTCTCTCAGGAGGCCCACATTGTTTTATTTTGCCTTCATTTTTTCTCCTTTAAAAAAGAGTAGTATGAGGTCATGATACAGTACTAGACCAGAGGAATATAGAGTGGAAATATAGTTCTGAATAGTTTGCAAAAATAATTAAAATACAACACTAAGAAGATTTCAGTCAGTGTTAGTGTTGTGCCGTGATAACTTATCATATATGACATTTTATATAAGCACAACTTTTGAATGCTCCCCACTAGCAATGTCACATTATCACATGTATTGGCATGAATCTCTACAAAGCTGAAATAAGGTGTTATGTACATCTTTCACAGATTTAGATACACAGCAAAAACGGCAAATGATAAATTAACCCAGTTTGTTGTTTCCTGAATCCTCTCACCACCTCACCCCTCTTCACTTGTTTGTGGGCATTTCTGTGCATGGTTGTGTGTGTGTCAATTTGTGCATTTAATGAATGCTTCACACCCACCCTTTCTGCTTGTTTGAACATACATAATTTTAAAATTGTAAATTATTACATACATTCTTTTTTTAAACTTTTTTTTACCCTTACATCTGTTTTCTTACCCTCTAGGACCTCCCCTGCCTCCCCAGGATGTACAGGTGCTCTGTGGGCAGGCTCCAGGGGTCCTACAGGTCCACTGGAAGCCCCCCATCCTTTCTCCTACAGGCACATCTAACGGGGCAAATGTGGTTGGCTACGCAGTCTGCACTAAAGGACAGAGGGTGAGTTAGGAAGTGTATAACTGGCCCAAACTGTGTCCTTATTTAAGCTGATTCTGTTAAGAGGTATGCTGAGTGATGCTGAATTAAAGGTATCACTCATGATTAGAGGGAGAATAAGTGACTTTGTACAGTACCATAGTACTGAGGGACTGGTTTGTGGAGAATTCACAAGCATATGGGATCCACATTTCACAGGCCTACATGCAGTACACAGCTACAGTATAAAACAGTATGTGATGTGTTTAATCATATTTAATCCATTTGAAACATGAGAACATACATCACAGATGGGATGGTAATAGCCTCTGTTGTTGAGTTAGGATTATGTCATCAGTGCCCTCAATGCATACAGCAGTGCCATCTACTTGTGATTCATGTCCAGTGCAAGACTCTCAATCTGGGACCTGTGAAGTCTCGGAAAGGTCTCTCACTCCCTCTGGTGACTACCAAAGTAAAGCAACACAGTATTCTGAAATTTTAACATCACAATGTTTTCTGCCTGATTCTGTGCTCCACATACTAAAGCAAAAGTGAACAATGTGAGAAGGTTGTGCTCAGAACAAAGAGGACACTAACCATTTGCCTATTATATTCTAGTGGGGTTGAAACATTGTCCTGATATTGATTATGATACTGATGTCGTTTCAGCTTTTGTTAGCTTCTGTTAATATTAACATTTTTCTTTTTAATGCAGATAGCTGAGGTGTTGTACCCGATGGCAGACTATGTTACTGTCGAGCTGACAAGGATTCAGTGCCTGGAGGCCAGGGAAGTCATCGTTAGGACGCTGTCAGTACAGGGAGAATCCCAGGACTCCCAAGTCGCCGTCATTCCAAACAACCTGCTCGTGCCTCTACCTGCGCTTCCCCTACCACCGCCAATGCACCCCCACGCAGGCCCCCCTCCACACCCCCATGTTCAGCCCCACCTCCAATCCCCTCACCTTCCTCATGCCACACCCCAACTTCCTGCTCCACCCCAGGCACATGGGCAACCCCATCCTCCACACCCTCAACCCCACCCCAGACATTCCCACCCAGGTGGACCCCCGCAACCCCAGCTTCGACCCCCACACCCTCAGCCCCAGCCCCTACATTTTCAGCCGCGCCCGCCCCACCAAGGTCCCAGGCCCCAGCACCAACTGCCTCTGCTACCCCACCCCCAACACCCTATACCTCAGAGACCAGTATGTGCCAGAGATCTGGATGCCAAAGAGCACGCGGCCCACCACGGGGGAGCTATTCCACCTGGCCAGTCTGGCTGGGACCCCACACGCTCTCCTTCTTCCCAGCCTCCTGTGCCCATGCAAGGCCACACTCTTGAGGCCCCTCCCTCTGCCAATCCACGCTCCCCATCCCCACAGCGGATACTTCCGCAGCCCCGAGGCACACTTATTCCGGACACGGTGGCCAAAGCCATTGCCCGAGAAGCAGCGCAGAGGGTGGCGGCAGAAAGTGGCAAGGTGTGTTGAAATGTCGTATTGTTAAAAAAATTTAATTATACAATCAAAAAAAAGAAAGAAAAAGAAACTAACATGTAAAAGGGTGAATTTAATTAGAATTTAAAAACATATCTAAATAAAAAGCTAGAAATTAATAGTGTGTGGGGGGATCTATTGATTGTGTACAAAAGGTTAAAAAACATAAGAAAATATAAAGATCAAGTTATTAAAATACTGCATACAATAGCCAACAATAATGAAGCACCATATTACTTGACACTGAGTAAGCACTCTGTTACTCAGTGTGCTCACTTTTCATGCATGTTTTCAGGGGGAAAGGAGGCAGGGCAGATACGGAGAGCAGGGTCATTCATTTCACCAGCATCACTCTGACGAGGAAGAGGAGGACGAGGAAGGCTTTGCGCGCGGCCGTCGGAGAGGACCCTCAGTCGACGAGTTCCTCAGAGGCTCTGAGCTGGGGAGGCCGGTAAGAACGACGCGACAAGGGATAAATCGTTCGCCTCCTTGTCAACTTCAGCCACAATGTGTTTTTCAATAGACAACCTCTCACGTGTGTGTATGTTTGGACGTGTGTGTGCATGCATGTCTGGGTGGTTGCATGCATACACTCCCTTTGCCTGGTGTCTCTGTGTGTGTTCCAATGTGTGTGTTCGCCCATCCATGTGCGTTTGGTGTGTGCATGTATGTATGTTTGTATGTATGTATGTATGTATGTGGACTTAAACAACTGCGTCTTGTGTGTTTGTGTTTGTGTGTGACTGCCAAAAGCCTCACTATAGTCACAATGAAGATTATCACAGCGAAAGCAGCCGGGGCTCTGACCTGTCTGACATCATGGAAGAGGATGAGGAGGAGCTGTACTCTGAGATGCAGCTGGAAGAGGGACGCCGACGCAACTCGCACAACACACCCAAGGTGCAGTTCTTTGCACTTATTTTAAACCCAAGAGTCATAACCAGCCAAATTAATTATTATTTAGCGAACTGCACAGGCACAGATACTTCAATTGAGACTGCTGCCTTGACTTGCATTTGATGTGTTGTTAGTGTGTGAGTTTAATTCAAATTTAGAGAATAGGGGAAAATAAATTTGAATACGTCATCACAATGGAGAGAAACGGAGAGAGACAGACTGCGTTCTGATACCTTCATGCAGCATATCGACATATCAGTGAAGAGAAACGGTACTGGAGGAACATCTTCAAAGTTTGATTCCAGTCCATGTCCAGTCTGAACCAATGCTATATAGACTAGGTCTGAATGTGTTCAGCATCTTGGAGAGACTGAACAATTTAGCGCCATGAACGGAGACAACACAGTAACATAGACAGCGCTTACTGATGGTTTTGACACTTTTTTAAAAAAGTAGTTTGTTATCAGTATTTGCTTAATTTTGGAATGTTAAACTTTCCCGTGGGCTTGTGTGTGTTTGAGTGTGTGTCTATGCGTCTGTGTTTTAGTGTGCCTGCCTGCGAGTGCTGCATGATTTCGTTTACATAAAATTCGTATGAGTATGTCGATGTGCGTTTTTTTCACATGCGAGTTTGTCCACGTGTCTGTGAGCGACTTATGAATGTTTAATGTTTGTGAATGTTTTTCTGTGTTTGCTCGCATTTCAGACAAACAATCGCGCTGGAGGCCGTCAGGACCGGGAAACTGGGAGAAGAATTAATCATGGCGGTTCTCAACCGCAGAGACGACCTCTAATGGTCCCCTCCATTGGTCAGTATAGGGAGGTGGCTAGAGAGAGAACAGAAAAAGGGAGAATCTTTTATTTTATATTTTTTAATGTTTTCTGTGCCGTAGAACAGTAATGTTTGTTGCTCTGTTAAAGCCTTCATGAGCTTCTCTGTGTCTCCAGATCACCTCTGTGTCTATGAACCATGCTCATGCCCTTCACTACCTTGAAATAAATGAGATCTTTCAGAGATTATTATGATGCAGCAAGCTGACACTTTTCTTAAACTGCTGTGCACAGTTGCACCACATGTTGATGCATTTAATCTACTCCGATACAGAATCTCACAATCATGACACTTTAGCCATGGTAGTTTTCCTGTGTTTATTTATTATTACCTTGTGTATAAGCAATAAGAAGCTTTAGCTTGTAACACTAATCTTTAGGTAACCTTTTGGGAGGGGAATGTTGAGCTTTGCATTGTAACCCCATCACACTCTAACTGGTGTTTCCTGTAGAGGTAACCTCTGAGAATAACAGTGAGGGAAACCTCTCCCCCATCACCGAGGATGTTTACTATGGCAGAGTAGCTCGGCACAGGACGCGGCCATCCCGCAGGCACATGGGCGGCACCAGGTCTCCCCATGGTATGTGCCTGCAGTCCCGTTTTTACCACCACAGCATGGCGACAAAAGAAATGCCACCAGCAACCGGCAGATTAGCTGTGGACACTTGCAAGTGCCTGTTTCTCTGTCTTAAATAATAATAGTTATTATTATGCTTCCAGTTGAACAGCATGACTGCACTGCACTGAAATGGTGGACCCACTGGCAAGCCATACCTGGGGTCCAGGGTGAACGTTTCCACAGTTGCAGATGATAAATGATTGATTGACTGCTCAGGGAATGCCTCACTCACTGCACTGAACTCCAGATGCCTGCTAAACCCCCCTCCCTTTGTGGTACAACCACACCTACTACACTTACAATGAGAGTAGTCATGCATGACATTTTTGACGGAATACTAGTGGTAGACATTAAAGAATGACTACACATTCACTGCTTTTTTTTTTTTTTTGAGTTCCTTTGGACATTTGAGTTTGAAATATCAGCTGTTGGAAATGCAGTTGTCCCTTACATTTCCTTCCTTGTTACACCTAAATACAATTACCAAACCTTCTGCAGGTTGGCAGATGCTCACCTGGGAGCAATGCATTTCACATCATGCTTGTATTTTCAAGCGCCAAACAGTATCTCACTCTGCTAGCTGGTACATTTCATTTTTACAAATATTAAAAATGCCAAATTCAAATAAATGACAGGCTTCCACAACAACTCTGCCATCTCAGCTTTAGACCTCTTGTTGCTACGGTGTAAGGGTTGGCAATGTGTGGGAAGTGTGAGATTTTTACTTTATATAGAATTTCACCCAAAGTTTTATTTTTATATGAAGTGAAAATAGACCTATGGAGTACCTATCTTTTTTTTTATTTAGGCATTTTGTAGCATGCATATCACAGTCTTGTTTGTTTGTGTTGTGTCATGTCCATGAATCACATTCTGTCTGTGTATTGCACCAGGGTTTGTCTTGCTCCCCATTTGTCTTTCACTGTATATTCAAACATAATAGCGTGTGTGAGTGTGTTTATGGGTGCATGCGTTTTTGCCACAGTAAATGATTTAAATAGCTGACTGACCACAGATTTATTCCTGCATGCTGACAGGCACAAATATGACAAGACAAGAAAATCCAATCTGTCATGCAGCACTGCCTGATCGAATCAATTATTAAGACAAAATAAAATCCTCTCATTGATTTCCTTTGATTGACGCATGGCTAAGATACATCACGATGTAAGCATAATGGCCTTGCTCATCACAATAGTGGTCTACACTGTATGCAGCACTAAGTTTTGTTACCGAGCACAAACACAGGCTCAAATTTTTACAGGAGACAAAAATTAAAACTATGTTTGCAAAGAAACAAAGTCTCCTCCAAAGACCTTTGTGTGTTGGATCACATCCATTGGTTGCACTAGCTTGTGATGTAGGATGATATGATTTTTTTTTTTGTCTTCAATGTGTTTTAAGATGGCTACAGGGACCGGGATCGTCGCTCTCCCACGTACTACGATGAGTCAGAGCCTGAGGATTCCTTCCGGATCTTCGTAGCCCTCTTCGACTACGATCCTCTGTCCATGTCCCCCAACCCAGATGCCGCTGACGAGGAGCTGCCCTTCAAAGAGGGGCAGATCATTAGGGTGGGAGTTTACAATTTAGATGGTCAGATACTTTGATGCATTCCTGATTATTCTGTCTTCCTCTTTGAGGTGAATCCAAACCTTAAGGTACAAGTTGTTTGCTGCTTGTCCACAAACAAAGGCTATAACCCTGAAATATTATGTGAGAAATGGTTATTGCAATAACTGCAGAAAGTATGCATTCATTCCATACTATATATATATATATATATATATATATATATATATATTATATCTATACAATTCTGTCAGACTGATTTCACCCTCCACTATTGTTTGTTTTTCATGCAGAATTCAAAAGCTCTCTGTAAAATAGCTTTTCTGCAATCCAAACTGCTGCCCACAAATTCCAGCGTTGAATCTTTATTCATCCTTTAAGCTTTATTTTACAGTAAAAGAACACTTTTGCAGCTGGCAAATTAGTTTTCAGTGCTGTGCCTTGGTCAAAAAAATGTTTTACAAAATGTTCTGGAATTGACCTTTAAAACAGTGTTGGGAACCAGGTTCATTTGAAAATAAAATTGCCTATACCACTGCATATCTTTTGTGCACACCCTCTTCTTCACCAAGAACTCTTCTGAACAACATGTACATCACTGCCATGACAGTACCGCAGTCATCATTTCTTGAAGCGTCATAAAAGAAGTTCTGGTCTGGTCTATGTTTTAAAGTGGCAAGTCTAAACATCACTCTTTAACTCTCTTGTCTAACAGGTGTATGGTGATAAAGACACAGATGGCTTTTACAGAGGAGAAGTGAGAGGCAGGATGGGTCTGATCCCCTGTAACATGGTGTCAGAGATACGAGCGGAGGACGAGGAGACCCTGGACCAGCTCATCAAACAGGGCTTCCTGCCACTCAGCACCCCCGTGGACAGAATAGGTACTACGCAAGCACACTCGCTCTCATGAACAAGTAAAGATCTGCGTTTGGAAAGAACAGTTGTGGTTACTTTCTGTTAACAAGCCGTCTATTATCGCTTCCAGAGCAAAACCGAAGAGGCCTCCGCCGAGATCAGGCCTCGAGGAGGATGGTGGCTCTGTATGACTACAACCCCCGAGAGAGCTCCCCTAATGTTGATGTCGAGGTATCACTTAGTGCCCAGGACCCCTTGCTGAACACACACATACTTAGAGATCCAAGGGAGTGCTGTATAAGAGGCTAACCACACATACACATATAAGGACATAGCAGATTAAGACATAGTGAACTTGGATCGCATTCCTTGTATATCTGTTTCTGTGTCTCTGTCTTCTGATAGGCTGAGCTGACCTTCTGTGTTGGTGACATCCTTGCGGTCTTTGGAGATATTGATGAAGACGGATTCTATTATGTGAGTGCTGCTTGACTGTGTTAGCTTCTCTCATCTAATGTGTTTAATCTCTTCAAAAACCATCACTAAACCATCAATATATATGGTGTTCATTTTTAGAGGTCCTGGTAGCAGATTTTTAACCTTTTGGCAGAGCCAGGCTAGCTGTTCCCCCCCTGTTTGCAGTCTTTATGCCAAGCTGAGTTAACTGGCTGCAGGTTATAGTTTCATATTTACTGTACAGACATGAGAGTGGTATTAATCTTCTCGTCTATCTCTGGATTAACAGTGATATGTTAACTGTAGATTCCAGATTTTTTGAAACAACATGTTGTATATACAATATGGCATGCGTCATGTTCAGTGACAGAAATGAGTCTCCTCTCATTACCGTCCACAGGGTGAGATTAACGGCCACCGCGGTCTGGTTCCCTCTAACTTCCTGGAAGAAGTGCCTGATGACGTGGAGGTGTATCTGACTGATACGCTGTCCCAGTACCCCCAGGAAGAGCCTGCCAACCGGCCCCCTGCCAACTCTGCCGCAACCGTCTCAGAGGGCAAACGGGTACATCATCATCGCCGCTCTCAGCGCTAGGCCCTGTGTTCATCCATCCTCCGTCCTCTCTCTTGATTTCCGTCTCTCGCTTCCTCCACTTTGCCGTCTGTGTGCTGTTCATTGTGTGTGTTTGTCCATGTGGTGACAGTGGTGACTCTATACAAACTAACAACTCCCGCCCCCGCACCCTCCTCCCTCCCCTCACCCTTTGGAAAAGGGGACAAAAATCCAGTGTTAACACCTTTCTGAGTCTCAGAGAAAGGAAGAAGCAAAGCCTGACATGGACAGAGAGAGGATAGACTGTGGGAGCTCTGCGGGTGATTTATGCATGTAGCACTGGTTAAGGAGGACTTGAAAAAGGCTCAACTCATTCCTTACACAAGATAATTTGGTACCTCTTTGCACTGACACACAAAATCAAATTGTGGTTATTGTGTATTATAATAATGATAAAAATAAGTGCTTTATTAACACATAACAATTGCTACCCAATGACACTGACAGAAATCATTTGAGAAGAAGAAAACTTTAAAGATGGAAAAGAGAAAAAAGCATGCCTTTTTCAAACTTGATACATTTTATAATAACTTTCTTGGCTCGACTACTGTATTTCCTGAAAGAGGCTTTGTTTCTTTATGTATATTGCACACACATCAGATCTATTTTTCAGCCCTGTTGACAGTGGATACGCCATGTTTGCTCTGAGCTCGAGAGACAAAACTAATCGCAGCACTGATACATCCATACTGTGTTGTTACGATGGAACAATAAAAGAAAAAAATTGGATATTAAAAACATTCTTTTTTGCGCTCTGTGTTGATGTGCGTTGGTGTTGTTGTTGATGTTGTTGTTGTTGTTTTCAGTTGTTTCATAGTGGTGTGGGTTTTCAGCGACGGTGACAATGCTGCCACATCTGATTTCTTTTTTGTTTTTCCTCACCCGCTTGGCAAAACAAAACAAACAAACAGAAGAAGATTGTTCATTTCACACCATAAATGGCTCTGTCTGCCTTGTACAGTAAGTCAGCAACTTCAGATACCAAACTCTGGGCTCTAATGCACACAGCTCGTGGTCACAGCGAAGGCTTCTAAATGCCACTTTACATTATGGAAGCATTTGTTAAGTGCTTCTCTAATGCTTTTTTCAACATTTCACATCAGTACAATCTGGCATTTTTCCTTCTTTGAGTGATACAAAAATGTTTTGGTACATCTTCAAATTAAAATATTTGCCTCACAACACTGAACAGCATCATTTCTGTCACCCAAAGTTGGTATATTTATGATATATGAGAAATCTAGACCTCCTTAAATCAGAAATTTGCTGAAAATACAAACAACCATCTTCCTGAAAGGAAATAAATGCATAACTGTGTATCCAGCTGCTGCATTAAATGAGAAGCCTGGTATCTACAGTTGTGTCCCTGGGTGTTGTACTGTATATAATTGTACTGTATGTTCCCTCATGGCCTAACTGATGGTGGACTTCTCCGGCTCTGTGGTGTGCTGATGTCGTGCTCAACATTTGATGGCTTCCTCCTCAGTGTTTCTTCTTCTACATATGTACAACGTTGGTGTGTGTGTGTGTGTGTGTGTGTGTGTGTGTGTGTGTGTGTGCGTGTGTGTTTGTATGTGCGTGTGTTTGTGTGAAAACTTAGCAAATCTTTTTAATTTAATACAGATTACGAAGCAGACAGATAATAGCTTTGACCATTTCAAAATAGTATGTTGAGAATATTAAAGTTATAATCAGTGTGGATTTTATCAGGTTTTTCTCTTCCTGAAAATGTAGTTATTATAAGACACGCATTGGACCCTTTAAGACTAAATATGCAACAACAATTTGCATTGTTTAAAAAACATTATGTCTCTCATGATATTACATTGAATGTAACTGATAAATGAAATGAAAATGAACACATTTCTTTATTTATAGATGGATATATAAATAGAGAACTTAATCCCAAAGGGAAATTGCAGCAGCCAAATCACACATAAGAATTATAAAACAAGCAATATTAGAAGATAGATAATAAAGACATAAATAACTAAAATCTTAACTAAAAACTGATTTAAAAAAAGAAAATTTACAGTGTGTAATGACAGTGCCTATTTATATTTTGTACATGGTTAGTACATTTAGAGGATGCAAATTGTTACCAAGGCTGCATAAGCCTCCTTCTACTTAGAACTTCTTGTAATAATAGACAATGTTCAGATTTTTTTGCACCAAATCACACACTGTGCTGAACAACTGATTTGATACACGTGCCATTTGGCAACAAGTTATTTCTAGACTGATGACCAAAGTTCAAAGTTCAGCAAACAAACAGGACAACAAATGTAAACCTCCTTGCTGGATGTAAATAGATCGATATCGATCAGTCTGTATTACAGGATAAAAGCAACAAACAAACAAGAAAGACATACTTGAGTCAGTGGGTAATTTGTACAGTGAATGCACCTCAGCCCACTGAGAATTAGAGAAATAGGGTCTTATTATGTAGAATTATAACTCAAACTATACACTGCTTATTACACAAAACAAGCAATGCGGTTTGAATACGTTCGCCATACTTTTCTGCATTAAAATAACAGACAGACAGACAGACAGACACCTAGTCTGCAGTGTGAAAGTGTTGCTTCTTTTGTAATACGCTGCCCCATGCCTCCACACCTCCCCATCGCTTCTCTCTTCAGGTTACCACAGAAACCACCGACACGGTCGACAACGACGTCACGCCTGTACGAGCTCCGTCCCCGATCGTCCGGCCCCTCCTTCCGGGCACCATGAGACCCCTGAGCCCTACGAGGGGCCCCCACATCCCGCTGGACCTCCGGGACCCCAGGGACTCCCAAGATCTGGCAAACAAGAAGAAGAAGGGACTACTTTCCAAGGGGAAGAAGCTGCTGAAGAGACTCTCCCCTGTGAAATAAAACACACAAAAAAAGAAGCATACATGTACAAATACGTGCACATGCTGGGCTCTGTATATTGCATCCATACAATCAACTCTGGTCTCAACAACACATGACAGAGAGGATGGGAGCTTTGTCTCCAGGACTGCGTGAGCCTATTTGAATATAACCAGTGATACAGTTATTCATGTTTGGTGATGGATACAAATCAACTAACTGATGTACAGTGCAGTGCCAAAATCAAGAGAGAGGTCACCTGCAGACACAAAAAACATATTACTGTGATGTATTTTAAATCAACGGATGACTAAAACAAAAAAAAAAAAAAAAAAAAACAACTAGGATTTTCATGACATGTATTTTTTCTTTATCATTTATTTCAAGCAGGGTAGCTGTGAAAACATACATCTAAGTTTCTAACAGGCTTTTCTCAGCAAAAAAGAAAAAAAAAACATAAATTTTTTGGAGTATTGATGTCACCACAAGGAAACAGAGACCATACTCCTCTAAGAAAATCTCTAATAGACTACACTGTTATTGAGGCATTCTGTGAAGCAATGCTGGCTGCTAACACAAAGGCTTTATTCAGTGCAATATCATAGAGAGGTGGTAGCATATGTGAGAAGAAAGGAAACATTTCCGCGTGTACCTGTGATTCAGCAGAGAGTTTTCTGTGATGAAAGGAATTTTTAAAAAAAGAATAGCAGATTGGCAACAGGGCATTAAAGTGAGAAACACCGGGCGAGCTTAGCTGTCTCAGTGGCCTTTATGAAAACAACACGAGCGTGACATTCCTCGTTCGATCAAAAGGTTGATCCACACCAGGGTTTTTTTGTTCTTTGACGGGTCGCTTGTGCTTTGTCAATTTTTTTAAGATTAAATCGGAGCAGCAATGTTTGTCATCCCCGCTGTCAAGCTGTCATGAAACGCCTAGTTCAAGACAAAATTTTTGTGTCTGTCTTCCTATTGCACAAAGGTGTGTGTTTTTTGTCTGACGATTGGTAACATACATGTTTTGTGTGCCTGTGTGAGCGTGTATGTGAGGCAGTATGTGATGCATTCATGTTTGCACCTTTCATGTTTCCTTTCACTTATGTTTTGTTTCAGAAAGGGGAGGCCATGTTGTTATTGGTCATGTGATCTAGTGATGTGCTGCTACCTCCATTGCCTGTGCACTGTTTGGTTTTGTTGTCTCATGTTGATATAGGTGGCCGTGTTAAAGCATCAAAGAGGGTGCAAATCAAAAAGTCAAGGTGTGCATTGTTCTCCAGTTCATCCACTGGAGGTCTGTGGAGAGAAATACTAACTTATTTAACATTTCGTATCTGGTTACACACAGTATAAGCTCTACATGACTTGTACGCCAAGTAGCCCACATAAGGACTATACCATAAAAAGTGTCACACAGCTTACATTATATACATTAAAAATGGAATCTGGTATGGAATAGATTTTTACTTTATTCTCATGATCTTGGATCATTAATGAAATAAGCTGATGTATTCAAAGCCAGAGTGTGGAGAGCGCACGCACTAATCAGTAATGCCAATATTCTGTTGTTGCTCCTTTTAGTTTGTTGACTCATCGAATGTTTTATATATTTAATTGAGTCTTCAAAAACAAAGAAACATATTTGCATAATGCTACTCAAAGATTTGCTCCAGAAATTGTAATCAGATCGGAAGAATCTCCTTAATATCCTGCAGGCTGCCACGCTGACTGTCTATTCAATCTCATTCATTTTCAGTGTAAAAGCTTCAAAACAATGTGTCTTGATTTCAAAGACAGATTGCGCTGCATTTTCTCCAAATGTAAATGTTGTCAATATTTTAGTTCCAATTTAACATTTTCATCTTTCACATACTCTCCTGTGGCCAGAATGCCAAATTCAACCCTTGAAATTTTTTTTTTATTGGTTTTCACATCCAGGTAAATTTAATAAACCCCGGAGAGCCAATCCAATTCTATGGAAGCCCTAAAAATGTGGCCCCAAAAAAGAAAACCAATCAAAAGCTTTTTCCTAATGTTGAAAACATCTTGACTTGAAAAAATATTTTGCCACAGACATTCTTTTCTCAGTCTTAATGTTTTCTCCATCTTTTTTTTTTTTTTACATTGAAAAAGATGAATGAACTTCAAAGATGTTTAAACTTGCTGTGTTTACCTTCCAGCTCACTGATCACACAGAGTCACAGGATATAATTTAAATGTATTTATCTCAAACACAACCCACTGTCCTACCTCAGTTTTTTTCTTTCGAGGAGATAGTCATTGTGTGTGTTAATTAAACAAGATTATATCTTCAGTTGGAATTTCATTTTCGAAAGCAAACATTCACTTGGATTACTGAGGAGAAAGGCATGCACAGGCTACTGTATCAACATTTTGTGATCTGTGGAGGTGACTAAAAGTGCTAAAAGAACTCGACTAACTTGAGGGATAGTATGTCTCATAGCTTTAATCATTTATAAACTTCTATTCTCTCTGTTTAGTTTTAAATATCCTATCCAGTTCGTCTCTTATGTCAAGTTGCACTTGAAAGATGTGAGTTTATTGTGTTAAACAGCATTCCCCTCCTCATTCTTTATGAATATTACTGATTAAATGCAATGACAAGAGAGGGATTACCAAAATGGAATGTGAGAAGAGTTCGGCTGGTTTACATCTGATTCGTTTTTGTTCCAAAGCGGTTCATGTATAGTTTCTCATTCAGTCTGTCACAAAGTTGAAATACTGTAATATGGTGTCCCAATACCAAATCATTCAGTTGTGAATGGGTGTAGTGTCTCTAAACGCTGTAGCTCTTTTGTACTTTGATCCATTTGTAGATAATTTATAAATGTTTCTACTTGATTTTACGACAGCCTTTTTGTTAGTGCACTGAGATTTCCTCTCCCTGTAAAAGACTGCAAGCATTCTCCATAGTGTCCTTTGAAATCAGATGTATCAGTCCACCGTATGTGCTTGCTTTGTGAATCAAAGTTTAAAAAAGAAAAAAAGAAAAAGAGAAGTCATTGGACAGTATTTATGGTGATTAATTATGTGTGGGTGTGCATGTGAAAAAATACAACTTTTATAACCAAATTAAATTTGATATTTTTTAGAAACTCATCGTTTTTATACTCATTTGTGTATGTCATGTGCTTTCAATGAAGAGAGCAGGTCAGATTTGACCTGTTGTATTTAATACAGCAGGCAATATTCAACCTTTTGTGGCTCTAAACCTATGACGTATATATATAACAAATGTTCACAGTCCTGTTGGTTTGACAGCCAGACATCCTTATTTAAATTATCTGTCATTGAGTGAGTTAATGAATCAATGTTCTTAGTTCGGTAGCTTAGGGTCTACACCTCCCTGAAGGGTTTCAGCTCAAAAGAAAGAGATGAAGATTTCTTATATGGTTCAACACAGTATTACATTATCACAATAATGTTTAAGGCTAGATAATTAATTCCAGTGGTAGAATGTAATGAAGTACTCCACTAAATTTGTCTGACAGCTTATACTTTTCAGATTAATTAATTTCTTAATGTCCAATGAAAACCATGCATCTCTAAATTTGGCGATTTGTCTGATAAACTGAAGGATTATGCTTAAGTGTTCATTTATGGGTTGAGAAAGTTCTCCTACTTCTTAAGCTAAATGAATGAACATAGCTCTTGGATTAGCTGGAAAATGCATCGTCACAAAGAAAACAGGACTGTTTTTCTGACTTTTTAGAGATATGTGGTTCTCACAGGACAGGGACCTATTAAGATCTTATAGTATATGATGCATTGCTGTAGATTAAACTACCCAACAGCAAATAAAAAAGTTCAAATTAGCCCAACTGTAAATATCTACAGCTGTAAAATGCAGCATATACACATTAATGCAGTAATATTAATTAATAGTAAAATACTGACAGGAACCATTTTTCTGCAGAATTAGTACTTAACTAAATAAAAAGCTGATCCTTTTTTCATATCCTGGACTGATGGCCCTGACAGATGGCTGTCGTGGATCTTAATTATCACAGTGTCACACAAATATTAAAAAGAAAAAATTAAATGTAAGTAGTAGAGCTGGTGTGTAGCAGCTGGTATTACAACAATGTATGAGGATGAAATTCAACATGTAAATACATCATCAGATGGGTGCATTTTAGTGACACAACCTGGGTTTGTATTTCAGGATCGATATCATCAAGGTTATTTTTCTGGCTGCACCAAATAAAAGGTACTCACAGCCATCTGCACAGCAACATTCTTATCTTCCTCTCAAATGAATGAACTGAGGGACTTGATAGAAGCTCTTTCTGTAAGTACTGTAAAATGCTTGTCAATAGAAAAACTCTGTCCTAATGGATGTATTCCAGTTGTCATGGATATACATCATAGCTGCTTGTCATAGGTAGGTAAGCTAATGGCACATCCGCTGTTTGTCTGATTTAATCATGACTATGGGTTGTAATCAGCTACTACAAGTGGTTATTTGGAGAGAAAATCCCTAAATCAGCTTCATAAAATGTTCTGTGACACAATGAATGACAATAACAGGATGAGAGTGGAAATTTTGATCAAGACGTGACAAATTATATGATTTAATACACTGGTTTTTGCTAAATTGATTATAAGACCAACTGAATTACATTTTTATCCAAATGTAATGTTCTTTCTACCAGCAGTCTAGCACATCCTGCCAGTCATTACATCAGTGACAGAAAGGCTGAAGGAATGGTGACAATTCCAAGTTCAAGCAAGCCTGCTTGACAGTTCATAAATAACCAGTCTGGCTGTCTGTAAAAATTAAATTTCCAATTAACACAGCATTGGACAGACATGGTTTCAGTGCAACAGCAGCAGGAAGAGTTGTTAAATGAGATCTGAAGTATAACAGATGTCAACTCTCATCCATGACTTCAAACTCTTTCTGACTGGAAGGAAACGGAAAAATTTAGACTTGGTGAACAATGAGTCAAAGTGGTTCAATTCAGAAGCAAGAAGTAAGAAATAACACATCTGACAAATGCATAAACTATTAATCAGTAAATGACAGCTTTCCAGAAATATAACAGCTAAAAGATATAACACTTTGAGAAAGATCTTTTTAATTCATTGCTGCATGGGTTTTTTCTGTATTGTATTTTCTACATTTATACAACATTTTCATTCACATCGGTATGTGTACAACTGTCAGACCTGCTGTGCTCATGTTGTTACACCACAATCCTCAGGAGGGCAGCAATGCTTTTCAGTTGGGCGTCAGAGACAGTATGCGACTGTGAAGACTGCAGTTTCACAGTGAGGGATGCGACACATATAAACCTAGGTCTCATCAGTGTATTTAACTGTCTGATTAAACATTTGCTGATGTCAACAAAGTTACTATGAGCACACAGACACACATTTCTCATCAGCAAAAGTCATTCAGCCTCCTCCTCCCCTTCCTTTCTGTACCCTTCACTGGATTTTTTTTAGCATTTGTTTAATTTTAATGTTGATTCAGGCAGGAAAATAACCTCTAAGACTAAAGGCAAAATACATCAGAGTTTCAAAAACCCTATTCTGTCGTCAGGGACATAATAAAGAAAGGAGATTGAATTTGTAAATCAATTAATCTTTGTTTTGTTGCTTCTAATATATTTGCCCTATACTCTCCTCTCTCCCTGTCCTTCCTCCCCTCTCCCTCTCTCACTCCCCTCCCTTCCATTTTCTCCCCTCCTCCATCCACCACCTCCTCTCCTCTTCCTCTTGCCCTTATTTTCCCTCGCTATCCAACAGATCTATATTGAGCTGTAAGTCTCTGGACTCCCCGAGGGCCATTGGATGTTTAAAATTCTTGCCAGTTGTAACCTCTCTATCACTCGCTTTCGTCCTGCCTGCCACGCCACCAGAGGGGGGCATGAGGAGACATCCATCTTCTGCTGGCCTTTCTGAATATTTCACAAAACCTCAGAGTGCCAGTTAAACACTCAACGTCCATTTGACCCCCCTGCCCCAGAATCACAGCAGGGGTCCTAGAGGTAAAATATTTTAATTCGACTTTGATATACCAGGAGACCTTTTGTCATGTGGCGAGTTGGAGATTTCTTTTGAAGTCTCTGAGCAGTTTTCATAGTTTATACAGTATAGGTGTGTTGTAAAGAAGGGGGTTGTGTAGTTGCCTTGCATATAATGACTTTATGCTTTCATTATATATGTTATTTATCCTTTTATCGATACTTACATGGCTGGATCAACCTGCATGAAGGCTCCAGGGCAAAAATAATCAATGGCCCCCTATTTCACCCACCTTTTTTCCCACTTTGTGTGCATTGTGTATGTTTTCTCTTACCATTAATATCATCGTATACCATTAATTGCATGTGATTTTCAGATATGTTAAATGGGAAAACAACATGTTAACATATAATATCAACTGAAACACATTTCGGGTACATATGCTTTGTCACATTTGACACTAAAATTTACATGTGATGATCACATATAGGCACACATGCTTTTCAGAAAAGTAATAGCATTCTGATTCAGGGTTAGGTAAAAGTACAGGAACTTCCTTAAGCATTGCATATGTGATGGATGTTTGCTTGGCATAGATGAGAAAGACTCAGAGGATGGTTTTCCACCATTCATTCCACTCTCTGCAGGAAGACCATATCACACACACATATTGTCTCTAGATTGGTCATTGCACATCTGGATTCTCAGCAGTTTATCTCTGTTACACACACATAATTACCTAACAAATTTGCAATCAATCAAATGACCACAAACTAATTGTCACAAAATGAACAGTGTTTGGGCCTCCTGAGGTTCTGGGGCAACTCTACGCTTTGCCTGGTTGGTAATCCAGCCTTGCATGATAGAAATAATTTGGATGCACACTTAAAAGCAATAAAACATGACCTGATGTTGTGATATGACCTGGAGCTATGTACAGTAAGTTTTAAAGAAGAAGAAAATTCTCAAAAAAAAAGCTAGTACACCTATATGTCCATCCATCCACTCCAGCAGTAATGCGTTTCCCAGCAGGTGGTTTAAGGCAAGCCTCTTACCTGTCCATCACGGTGCTCTGAGGGCAGGCTATCTGTGGGAGGATATACCACCTGGCTGGTAACTCATTACAGGCATCCCGCAGGGGTGGAAAACTGATGTTTATGGCAGCCATGCTCTGAGAGGAGCATTCATTTGTCATCAGCGGAAGAATGTTGGCTGACGTCAGCAATGGGACGCAGCCAGGGCACAGTCCTCGTGTGATTCATCTTCTGCTAAGACATGCTTGGAGTGGGAGATGTCCACAGGGCACAACTTGGCTGGTAGAGCCCTCAGAGCTCTAACACCATGGGCGTTGAAAAGACCCGCTGCTTGGCTGCCGCTGGCTGACTGCCCCCTGGCAGGCTGTAGTGCTAAGTGTTATTACACAGGTGTAACGGCAGCTTTATGTTCACACTGGACTCCAGCACTCCCTAGAGATTAGAATAGAGAATACAAAAGCAGTTTGCAATGATTTTCACTCAGAGGGCTTTAGAAATGCTTATGTATCCAATTGTCTCGTGCATGCTGGAACCACTTTTTCTGTTGTTATTCTTTTTGTGTGCTCCCCTGCCAATCGGACACAGCACCAACGAGATGAAACAGAGCTGATATAATGATAATTTGATGAAAGTTAAGACAACAGGATTATTAAGATGGAGCATTGCTGTGGTTCAATATCCATCATTGAGCTGGATTACTGTCAGTAAAGGTTAATAGATGTACTAATCATACGATGACCCCAGAGTACACTGAGGAGTCACAGGCAGGTCATAGTTCGTCTGGCTCTGTACTTTAATATAACCTGTCCTAGTTTGTTCATACACAGTTCGATGCATCTAATGCATGTGTCCCTTGTGTCAATTGCATTTTCCTTCGTCTGTTGGTTATTTTTATAGTAAATTTGTTGTTTGAAAGATATTGTCCCCTCAACAGCACTATGTTGTGAATTGTTTTTCACATATTTCTTAGTCGGACTTTTCAAGTTATTTGTAATGCTTTTGTAATTTCTACTTCCAAAAACAGAATGAACACATAAGTAAATAGAAGGTGTGATTTAGTTTTGAGAGACAAAGAGAGTAGTGGGTTGGCATATCCTCTAAACATACGATTTATTTTATGCAGCCTTGATACATCACAGCATCTGGATACAAACCCATGTTATATTTTCAATTTGTAATAGATTGGCTTAGTTCAGCAGCAGTCATGCACACAGGCTGTGCTTAGGCACAGTTGTGCTTTGAACTAAATGCTGATGTCAGCATATAGTGTCAATGGCCAGCATGCAAACATTTAGCAGGTTTTACAATATTCGCCGTTTTGAAATGAACTTACAGCTGAGGATGATGGGAATGTGTAATGCAGGTTAGTTTATCAGGTCATGAACCAAAATATCAGACACATTAACATTTTAACCTGATGATGGCGCTAGATGAAAAGTAAAGGGATCACCAAAGTGATTACAATTCATCCGGAGGGCAACATGAACATCTGCACCAGACTTCAGGACAATCCATCCAATAGTTGTTGAGATATTTCAGTGGCGGACCAACCAACTGCCCGCCTGACAGACTGACATTGCCATCCCTAGAGTCACGCCTAGTCTTGCCAAAAAGAGTCAATGGTCTATTTTCTGAATTCCTGACTAAGCTTTGGCTCTGACCAGGAGTCACTGCAGTAATTTCTCCTGCGATTTATCTCTTTCAACATCTCAATGCGCAGCTTCCTATTGAAATAAATCAACATTTCTTTAGGGATTTAAGTCTTGACCCATGTTGCTCCATATCAAATGACCTCTAAAAACCTTTGAGCCACCTGGCAGCAGCTTTACATGCAGCGCTGGAGTTACACATGGTGCATCAGACCACCTCTCCGTCATCTCTAATAGCACCAGCAGCAGGTTGCATGTCTGGAACAACAACTGAGATCTGGAGACGTTCCCAGACTCAATAGTCAGTGGCCTCTGCCACTGTCAGCATTAATAACCACATCCAGCCAAAAACACAGACGAACTGCTCAAATTAAACCTCAGTGGCTTCAAAATGTAATGCATTAACTAACCCTGCACTGTAAACACTACAGCAATGTGTACGTAAAATCAAATTCCTCTCTTGAGATAATACAGACTCTATTAGTTCTTCAAAGTTTTATTGGCATTTAGAGATCCCAAAATGTCTCTCTAAGGTACATATTTATTTTAATCAGCCTCTGCTGTCAGGAGAGAAAATGTTTATTCGCCAATGATGCCTGCATGCATAATGCTGTCACCTTGGCACTGGTGCCACCTTGCAATAAAACAGACACTGAGGCACCGGGCACAGTGGGCTCAGTTGGAAGATGTATTCTGCCACTAAAGCACATTTGCTTCAGAGAACAGGTATTTAGAGAGGTGTCGGAGAGTAGAGGAGTGAAGAGTAGTCTGACCAAGCTCATTAAACCCACTAGGTGTTCTTTAACATAAATCTGATGTCAGCACTTAGTGTGATGTCTTTGTGCAAAGGCAGAGTGGATGGATGCCACAGTGCTTAAACTGCATAACCCCCTCGGCTCGCTCTTAGACACACAACTGCTCATATAATCGTCTCCCTGGTTGTAGGGCACACTGCAACAAGACACCACGCTATTTCAGTTCAGGCTTTGAACTCACACTGAAGCTCAGTGTACCTCATTATAATGAGTATATGGAATTTTAGGTCAAGGCAGATGAAGTGATACACATAAAAAGAGAAAAAAAATATAATTATCCAGAGTGTTAAGAAATTAAATGTGGCCTGAAGGCCTGCTGTAGCACAGAAAAAAACACACATTTGTGCTTTTTTTTAATTTGACTCTTTGCACCTGAAATATTTTAATATTGAGGACACATCTCAATTATGCAGTAAGGACTCACACAAGACTAAAGTAGAGTTTGTAGTGTTTGCCTATCCTTTGTACCATGTTGCCAAACGTATAGTGTGCTGTGACACCACAAAGCTTTAGATATTGTGCCTACATCCATCTGCTCCATTCTGCACCATGATCCCATGTGATGCTGAGGACTGAGAATATGCAGCTGACAGCTGGCAAAACCTGCGCTAAACTTTTTTTTGCCCCCCCTCCCACAGAAACTGTCTTAAATAATATCCAGATTAATACAAAGGCCTTCTGAATGTGATATAAACATCTGTGAATTTCTTAGAACTCTAAATACTAACAAACCTTTAAAAAGAAACCAGATAAATAGAGGAAATTATGCTTTTGGTAAAGGTAAACTTTTATTTTTCTTATTTATACAAAGAAAAAAATAATCATCATCATCATCATCATTTGTCCCTGCATATAAATTCGCCCTTGAGCTCGGAATCATATCGTTAATTTGTTAAATCAACATTAAAATGAGTCGTGGAGAAACCACTGATCCCCTTGACCTCATGTGCATTTAATTTTCTCGCAGCTCTTCCCCTACCGGCGATTACCCACGTGGGTCTCGTTAATCTGACAGACGGCACATGTTTACTGATTTCTCTCATGAAGGGAATAGCCGTGCCAAGCCAGAGCCGTGCCACCAGAGGAGAACATCATCCCTCTCATCCTTTCAGAGAACCCAAAGAAGGAGACAACATTTTAAACGGAGGTTTTTAACGCGGATAAGGAAGTAAACCCACGTTTTTGTTTCTACCCCACTTGATCCTCTTCAAGTCAGAGGAAGTTAACTTTACCGGACATCAGACAATGGAATGATTTGTTTCCTGCGCTTTCTTTCAACCGACTGCACACAGTCACACACACAGCTTCCCCCGGCTCTGGGTGGCCAGAACCGGCTGCAACTTTGCCGAAATGATGCTCAACTTTTCCCACCGCTCATTGCTCCCAGTTGTCGCAGTGGCTGTCCTTACAGCTGTTAAAGGTGAGACTTTGGAGTTTCTTTTTTCTGACTGTCTTTATTCACTGGTCTGACTTTCTTCATGTGTGCTGGAGCAGACCCAAGGGACACCCTCACATCATATGGGACAGTTGGAAGTAGTGTAAAGCCTTCAGCTGTGTTTACAAGAGGAAATTAGTAGTATATTATGCTCTTACATATGCCTTGATGATTTAAACACACACATACACACACACACACACACACACACACACAAACAGACATATAGGCAATTGGAAATATAGCCCCCCCCCATCCTAAATTATGATTCTGGCATATGCAGAAGAGGGGACAGTATGCTGCTGCTGCCTTTAGTTTGTAAGGCCCACTAAAAGACTATGCAGATGCTGTATGCATTAGGGGGAGGTGTTTGAGAAGAGAGCATTTAAAATATTTGAAAACAGGTTAGAAAATGTTCACATTGGCTTTATAAAACCATATTGATGCATGATGTGTTTATGCGACTGGCTGTATAAGGATGTACAGTTGTGTTTTTCCCATTTTTGAGGGTTTTATGGTTACTGTCCATGCCCCCTGCCCATCTCATTGTCCCTCTGTCTAAATGAAAGAGACGGCACGCTCTCCAGTGTGCATCAGGAAGCCTCATCTGTGGGATTAAAGAGGCCTGAAGCTGAGGTTGCACAGCTGTTTCTCTGGTTGTTTAAAGATAACCTGCATTGGTAACTATGAAGTCACAGTAAGCCGTCTGCCTCTCTGTGATACTGATATCATGCGAAAGACTACTTTCTGAGATTGACTGGGTTTATATCTGCACATGATATCTGCGTGTGCATTTTTCATCATTCATATGCGGGATGGCCGTATTTCTGCTAGTGCAGGACTCAGCTGTGCAGCTGTGTTCTTGATGCGTGTCTAAGTGATAGAGTTCAGCCTTTGATATCTTCTTTACTTGGTATCCATGAATATGCATGGAAGCCTTATCTTCAGTCCAGTCACAGATGTGCTGGCTGTTGTGTCAGCAAGCCCATCTGAGGTTAAATTATCATTTCTAATAGTTAAATGTTTCAAATAGTTCGATTTTCTTCTACTATCACAAGTCATAATCATAATGATCAATAAATAATATGTTGACTGATGCAGGGCAGTGTACTCCAGCCCCAGATCCGATGCTACAACTAAAAATACTGTGATCTTATCAAAGGAATGTCTTCATTTAAACACTTTTCTTTTTAATGTTTCACAAAACCAGTGTTTACAAGCAACACGCGAGTATGTGAGCATTACCTATAATCATCATCACCACCGTGTAAACTATGTCCTTGTCCAGTAAGATTATGGTCAGACATGTTGCAGACTTGTTTTGAAACAGACTGAGGATTATTTTCCTCTTTGTGTTTTCTTCATTCCATTAATTGCTTTGACCTGCAGTATACACCTGCTGTGCGATCGATCGGATCCAGTCAGTATGAGGATGTATATGTGAATATGTAGATTTATTTACAACCTTATTACATAAGCAACAAATATCCTTTTTTTAGATAAGAAAAGCATTCAGACATCTCTCTCATGGTTGTTGGAGTTGGAGAATACTGACGGTAAAACAGAGAGCAGAAACATCTGCCAGAGAATAATTCTCCAGTTTAAACCCAAAGTCAGCATTTATGAAACTTTTTATTAAAATGAATTTCTTCATCCTACTGCATAAAACTTGCTGAATCAGGCCGTTTAATTATGATGTTTTAATTATTAATTCCTATTTATAGTTAAAAGCCAGAAATCTCAAATCTTGATAATCACTAAACTAATTATCTAATTAGTTGGATATCTGGCCCAATGGACGTAATAGAAATATATTAATGGCTTTTAAAAGTCCTATTTATAGACAAACTTCAGTAACTACAGCAATAACACAGTCTCCTTAGTGGAGATGATAAGGGTACCATAAAACGGCAGTTTGGTTAAACAAATTCAATTTAGTGTTTGTTCTGATAGCACCAGGTAGACAGATTTACAGCAGGAAATATGAAATAAAACACTGGTGTGCAACTGGATCACCTTTGCATTATGTTTCATTTCACTCTGGTTTGCCTTAGTTCTACAGCTAGCATGCAAAAATTATATGTACCTGCCAATATTTATTTTGGTCTTTAATATGAAATTCCCTATGGCATCAGTCTGATCTCTGGAATCTGTAAGACAGTTTCTTGTGTGCTTTCAGGAATACTACATTTTTAATATCAACCCTGACATCTGTATTTTTTTCATAGATTTTTCTCTGCCTTGCCCGAATGAAAATTGATTTACATATAGATGTATTCATGAAATATGGTTTGATCAGAAAAGAATGATATATCACTTCAAAGACCTATGGGGAAAAGGAGGTTCTGCTTTGCTTCGTGTTTTCCTTTAGATAAGTTATTTTTGTGTGGTAGGGAAAGTCAAATTCACACAATAATTCTGGAGCACTTCACCATGGAGGATGGCAAATTACCAAGTGTCTTTGGCAGGAGGAAGTGGGAGCTGTCATACAGCATCCTGTTGGGACAAACAGTCATCTCTCGGAAGTTACAAGAGAGGCTTTTTACCACTCAGACATTTGCCATTCCCTTTGTTGCATCGCTTCGAAGTAGTAAGTGGATAGTGGGAAAATGTAATTTCTCTTGAAGGACAAGAGACCTATCACACAAGAGTTATACAGTTAGTATTCCTGTGTATTAGTGCTGGAATTGACAACTTCAATTACAAATATAATGTGTTTTCGCTTCCAGACATAGAGCCATTTAGCAAGTTTCCTTTGGCTCAACATTTAACCAGCAACCTGTGGATTTACCATGTCACCACCTGGTTACATGGTATTCAATAGGGACACTATATGGTATTTTTCCATGACACTGTTTTCACAGTGTTTTTTCTGTGGGTCATGTGAGTAGTTTCTTTAGTTATTCGAGGCAGGAATTGCCTGGGTTTGAAGTTGCTTGGAAGACTGTGAATGAAAATGTGCTCAGCATAAAGCTGTTAAAAAGTCACTTTATGTTCTTTGTTACACAGCAGTTATCATGGTTCTAAAAGTTGCAGCAATTAACTACTTACTATCAAAGGCCAAGCCTTAAATTGTTTCAGCCTATTTGTGTACCTAACTCCTCTCTTTCCTGTTTGTCTCAATTCCTAAAACTCTCCACCACAAACACCTTGGGTGTTTTCCTTTCCTTTCCTCTTTTGCAGTGCAGGAACTACATGGGGAAGTCACACCACCCTTGGTTCCTTGAGATGACCAACTAATTTTTCCCTGTAGCACCCAACTCACCCCCCGTCCTCGACCTCTTGCTTTGTCCCTCCAGTTGTGATCCCTTTGTCAACATTATACCTTCCTGCCATGCTCATCAAATGTTCTCAATTAAAGTAACTGGCTGATTTTGTAAGTGGAAACTGTTGAAACACTGAAATGTTGAGTTTAAGCAGCGATAGAGTAGTTATTGCACTAATCTCTCTTTGTAAATTCTCCCCTCTCAGTTGCTGAAAGTCAGAAGGTTGCTGAAGACCTTGGGACATCTTCCACCCCATCTCCAGTTTATCCCACCGTCAACTTTCAAGTCCTCAATGTGGATCACTTGTTTCTGAGGCAGGACAGTCCAGAGCCATCAGGGAACACCCGCCTGAAGGCTCAGACTCAAACGTTTCTCATCACTGGTCCAGGCGCTGGGCTCCTCCAACCAGCTGTCAACGCTTCATACGGCCCCCTGACTGTAGATGCCCCGATACCTCCAGACCAGCTCCTCAGTGGCCCCACGATCCTACCAGTCATTTTGGTCCGCCAGGTTCGTTCCTCAGCCCCTATTGTCAAAATCCTCTTCCACATGCCCACAGACAGTGACATCACTGTTGGGCAAGCAAGGATGGGGTCTGGAGAAGATAATGAGAGGAAAAGCGCTGGAGCCAAGGCAAAGGATGGAGCTCACTGTGTGACGGCCTACGCCTTCTGGGAGATGAGGGAAGTTCGTGGGGCATGCCTGGTGTCTCCAGGTGGATTCTGTGTGGCACAGCTGAAGCCAGAACCCGTCTGGTTCAGCTCTGCCAGTCGATCGGGCAGCTCTAGCAGGGAAGCAGGAAGAACAGAAGGAATTAAGGGGATCCAGGGGAACCTTGTGGAGGTCTACTTCCAGAGTCGGAGGGATCAGACAGGTCAATGTACCCCACAGGATAGCCTGCAACGTGTAGGAGTGGGAAGAGGAAGGGATGCTGCGGGATCAGGGACACCGATGAGGCGGGTAGGAAGTGTGAATCTGCTCCGAACTCCACCGGGGAACCCCACCTTTCTTCGACTGAGGCTGGGAGGCGCTGTGGTGATTCAGACCTCTTCAAAGCCCCTGAAGACCACAGATGTTGCAACTTTCTATGTCTTCCTGGCTAGCACATCTACCCTGGAAAATTTCACTCTCAGGTGAGACAGCTTCTTCTTTTTTACTTTATAAGCTCTTAAAAGAATGTTTTGATATTTTGGAACATATGCTTATTCGCTTTCTTGCTGAGTTAGATAAGTTGTTGGGGTTTTTGGGCTGGTCTGTTTCTTGGCCTTGAGCAGTGACTTTTAGAAGTCTTTGCTGAGCCTCATGGGGATGACAATTTTCAAGACCAAGAAATAGTCTGGCACATAATCCATAAAACCATAAAACTATTTTTTATGCAAGTTTTTGTATTGATTTCACAAACAAGATATAATGTGTTAATTAGTGAGCTTTGGAGTTGCTGATAGGCGGATTTGTTGACTCCAGAGAGAGCCAGGCCAGCTGTATTTCTCTCTTCCCAGTATTTCCAGTTCATGCTAAGCTAAGATAACTGGCTGCTGGCTGTGTAGCTTCATATTTACCAGACAGACAGGAAAGTGTCATCAGTTTTTTCATCTAACTCAAGAAAGGAAATCGAATAAGCATATTTTCCCACATGCTGAACTATGGGGAACATCACATTACAAAATCCTTTGGTTCTTTGTAGACATGCAGTGTATAGAATATTTACGTTTCTAGTACTTGTTCATTACTCTTTAGGAATTTAAACTAATTTTCTGTGGTGCGCAGTTTGTATACGGACATATCCTGTGGTGTTACATTTTACACTGGCGTGTTTGTGTTTAGTCTTTTGAGTTATGTCAACACAAAGTCCAAGCCAAGTCACAAGTCTTCTTGAGTAATCAAGTCAAGATGTTTTTAACACTTAAACATGGCATTGAAACAAGTTGTGTTTAGTGTTTGTCACATAACTGAGACCAAATCATTTCAACGTAGAAACATTAAATATTTGTATCATATTACATCTTACACGTGAGTCAAGTCTCACAGTAGTCAACTGAAGCTGAGTCTCTGGTTCTCATTTTTGTGTTTTAAGTCTCAACTCTTGTGTCTACAGTTCGGATTTGTTGCCATATTAAACGTTGTTAACATTTGTTTATTATCCTATAGAGGTATGACTCACTTTAAATTCATTCTGCTGGTTGCTTTGCATGCGTAGTGGTGATGCTGGATAGTTATTTAGCTAGTCTGTAAGCAGTAAACAGATGTCATTGCCATATACTGTATCTGGTGTTTTGGTAAAGGATAAACTAATATTATACTGAATCATATTCATACTGCTATGCCAACATCATATGTCGGCCCTGCAAAATTTAGTTTAGTTTAGCTTAAAAAGTAATTCCCAGAAAGCATAATTACTCAGCTATGTTGCTGAGTTTGCAGAGGACAAGAGTTAAGGAGTCACATAAAATTTAATTGTCACTGAAACATCTGAAGCAGAAAAAAAGACTGAAACCAAGTTGAATCATTGTGATGTACAGTATATTTGAGCATCTTCATGAAGGATAAGCTCCATGCATTTAAATGGTTACTTAAGGCACTTGAATACTGATGGGGCTCGCCACCAAGGCCATTCAGTAAAATGCTTGAGCGCCAACATGACTTGTGTTGTCTGCCAGTTTCACTGGCTTCATAAATTACTGACATGTTATATCCTGTCTACTGCAACTTCTCAGTTAGTGGGAGAGTTATTGAGAGCACTCTTCCATAAACAGGGAAATAATTGGCAAATGATTCACCAGGTTTCATATCTCAACATCCCACTAACATTTCAACAAGGTTCTATGGGTATTGGACTTCATAAATAATGCATGTATTTAATGGAGCAGGAAAACAAATAACTAAAATCTTTCTGACTCCTTTGGGTAAAAGTGAACTTAATATAAAAGCAGCCCTGTCACACAGAAACACAGTTCAATCTGTTTCAAAGTTTCGACTTGCTGCCTTTTGATGCACATCACTGAGTGGAGTAAAATTGTTTTTATCAGAAGGCTGCAGATCAGTAAAGTGTAAAGCCATCGCAGTGAGTTTTGCGTTTCCAGTCTTTACTCGGCTTAATGGTTTTGTTTGAAATGCAAGACAAATTTCTCTCTAATCCATGATTTAGTGATATCATGCTGCAAACAACATACCGACCCTGAGGTAATCTGCAGCGGGATGCGGGCAAATGGAGAGCAATGTTAAGATATGTGTATTAATCCATAGGGCACATACAGTAGTTAAACCTGTGGCTCTGTCTCAGTGCTCTTCTCCAATATCAGACTTAACATCCACAAACACAAACATGCCTGCGCACACGCAAACACACAAACTCAGTGACCTGAATGTAGCTCTGCTAGCATTGTTGACATTACGTGAATAAGATTTGGTAGAGAGACGCTGACCCTTTAACATCTGCTGTTGTTTTGACTATTTGGAAAGATTTACAGCCTCTCCACCTGAAATTCCCTAAACTTTGACTCACTGACCGTGCTACTGAAGTTCCTCCAGTCAGGTCAGTGATTTCAGTCCGTGTATTTCTGACCTACTGCCACATCCAGAATGAGATTGGACAAGAAGAGGGGACCAAGTCCAGCAGTTAAGTCCAAGTGAAGGCTAGCTCTGAGGAGCTTGGCAAAGTGATTGATTCCTCCTGAGAGAAATCCCTGCTCTACTTCACTCTTTGGCCCAAGATTGAGTCCACTCCAGCAGAGTTAGGCCAGATAATCTGTGGTCCTGATTGAAAATGAATCAAGAGGTTAACCCTTTGGGGCTAGAGATGATCTGAGCTGACTGCCAGGATTAACCATGTACATTTGTGTGTGTGTGTGTGTGTGTGTGTGTGTGTGTGTGTGTGTGTGTGTGTCTGTGTCTGTGTCTGTGTGTGTGTGTGTGTGTGTGTGTGTGTGTGTGTGTGTGTTTGCAAGGGCATCATACCCACCTGTTAAGCACACAGGCAGCTTGTAAACAGGATATTTGTTATTAAAATTCTATTTTTTAAATCGTCATCACATGGAATTACAGACATTTCATCAGATTGAAAATCAAACATTTTGTGCATTTGCATTTAGTTAAAAAAGAACAATTCATCATCAAAAAGTAAGAATATACCGTGTTGAAGTATCAACAGAATATTTAAAGCTTGGTGACCGGTTAAAATAACAGGCAAACTACAGAGTTGGGAGCTCTTCAGCTTTTCACATTTTTAAACAAATAGATTGACTGACTTTGGTAAAACAGCAGTGAAGAGTTGTTAAGTTCACAGATCGATATCCATCCTGTCCCCCACCTGTGGTCATGAACTGTGGGTAGTGACTGACAAAGACAAAGAGCGAGGGTAGAAGTGCCCAAAATGAGGTTTCACTGCAGGGAGGCTTGTGTCTGCTTGTCGGTGAGAAACTCAGTGATCCAGGAAGATCCTGGCATTGAGTTACTGCTCCTCGACACACAACAGGAGCCAGCTGAAGTGGTTTGTACCTCCTGGGAGGGATGCTCATCAGGTGCCGCTGTGAACTGTGATGCTCAGCGGGTCAGGAAGCAAGAAAATGAGATAATGGATGTAGGTATTTTGGTTAAATTGTCATATCCCAAAAAATAGAACTAATATTTAAATATTTATTATGTTAGAATTGTCCTTAATTGAAACGTAATAGGATGATGATCATTTTAATAAAAGAAATCAGAAAATGTAACATTTAAGAAAAAAATAGATTTAACATTTTACAAAACAAAGTCTCTGTTTTTGACTTGTTTTCTTGATCTCCCTCGTTCATCTGTGTAATTGAACCAATGTTTGTTGTATTTGAAACTTTAATTCAAATTTTAAATGGAAATGTAATATGGAGACTCTGCCTTTGGCTACAAGGTTTTGATCCAGAAAATTATAATAATGTCTGCACAAGTATGTATTTATCCAGCATTTGTTGAGTTGTCAGCTTGTCCATTTCAAAGTGTGTGTGTGTGTGTGTGTGTGTGTGTGGGGTGTGTGTGTGTGTGTGTGTTGTGTGTGTGTGTGTGTGGGGGGGTGTGTGTGTGTGAATGCTTGCATACTGTATTTTATCTGCCAAGCAACTCTGCCCTTGACCCTGTCTCAATGGTTATTGATTAGTCTGGTTGCCGTTTGATTACAAATCAGTATTTGTGTGTGTGTATATAGGTGTGTGTGTGTGAGTGCATGCATACTGACCTTTATTCTAGCATGAATAGATTTTGTATGTGTGCTGCTTTCCATCTGTCAGTTTTAATGTTCTTTGGCTATTTGAAGACTGTTTTGTTTGTGAAATGACAAACTAAGTGTTATTAAAACAGAAATAGAGACAGCTTGTTTACTGTAAAATAGTACGTTGCCACTCTAAACCATTACTGGGCAGCAAATGTGTAAAAAAAAAAAAGAAGCGCTTCTGCAATGATTTCCAAGTGTATTATTCCAATCCACGAGCAGTCTGAGCCTTTGTTTTTGGGTAAGTGGTATATAGATTAAATCTATCACTATCAGACACAGTGGGTTACTAGAAAGTAGAAAACTGACACTTCTAATAAATCTTCCGTTTGTTTGCGGTGTTAGTGGTGAACACAATGACAGTGTAGATCTGTCCTTGCAGGTATCATCAGATGAGACAGATGATGGAAGTTTAATGGTATTGTGAATGTGTTACGTTTTGCTTTTTCGGACAATAAGCGTCCTTTCATGCAGATGTGAACCAAAAAAAAATAGGACAGAAAACCACAGCAAAAACATGCTACTTACATGCACTGACACTGGCCAGTCCACCCGTTGTGATGGGCGTCACGCATCATCTCAAGATTGTTTTGGTGACTTCAATCCAGCAGTGTTCACAGTTTGCAGACCTAATACCGCACCTTATTGAGGTTGAGGTTTTTCAGATTATTCTCAGCGTGAATATCCTGCTGATAAAACTGCAGGAGCTGAGTGATGCTCTTGAGTAAGCTGGGGCTGAATTCCCTCTGGAGCGTTTCCAGCGCCTCGTTGAATCCTTGCCATGAGGAAATTGGCCTGTTTAGGAAACACACAAGACTCCCACCCCTAGCTAGGTGTCTGTGTGAGTGCAGATTAGTGAATCATTGCTTTTTAAACGTGGATTAGAAGCGATTCATGTCCCTTGTATCACTTTTTTTAGCCTGTGACTCAAATAGCTGCTCTCTGACCCTGTCCAGTGATATTTGACGTAACAATTTAGCAGAGGGACATCTGCCTTAAAAAACAAAGGCTTGGGGATTGTTGGACTTCCAGGACTGTCTGGTTCATTCACATTCTGATTATTATAATAAGCATTATAGCTCTCCCAGCAGAGTGATGTGTGTGTCTGATATCTGATTAACTGATTCACACTTCTCCGCATGTGCTTGTGGTAATAAAACCTTTGTTGGTATTAAAAGATTCAGAAACACGTAAACAGGAATTAAAACTGAGTACAGCATATGAAGTTTTATTTAGTCTTTTACTTTATACAGCTCATATCAAACCTGAGTTAACTCATGGGATATTTCCCAAACAGTATGGCAGTTGGAAAAGTAAAACTCATGCTTTTCACTAACTGGATTATGTATGTGTCTTTTCTGCAGGGCAACAGTAAAAACAGGCCTGACATTCAGTGCAGCGCGACCCAGTGACTCGGCGCTGTGGGACATCGTGGTGGAGCCTGGCAGAGGAGCGACTCCCAACACTGTCTCTGTTGTCTGTCAGAGGAAGGTTGCTGTCACTGCAAAGAGGTCAGTCCACTGCACATGCAGTACATGTGCACAGTGTTAGAGGTTTGTGTGTTTCAACCAGCCCTTTTCAAATGTACTTTCTCTACCATTAATACAAAACAATCATAAGCTTTTATCACTTCTTACGGTCTCTTATTGCCTTTATTTTCTGAGATTTCAATAACTCCTGCTGCTGCTATAAGGAAAAGCAATCCGTTATCATGATAAAAAACAATGTTACATTTGCTCTGCAGAGCATGGACAAATTGAAAATGATTTATTTTTCTCTGAAGTAAAATAATCATTTGCGGCCTTGACTGTAAGTGCACTGTACACAGTGTTTCTGTCTGTGTAAACAAATGTGTTTACTGCATCAGTTTTCATGTTGTAGATTTGCTCATGTGTATCTAAGAAAATCAGTATTAGAATAAAAATGTATACCCACTCTGGGGCTTGCAGATCCTATTTTATGCAGGAGTTCTGAACTTAAAGGACCAGTGTGAAGGATAAAGTGGCTTTCTAACAATGAAGTTGCAGATTGCAATCATTCAAATACAGCTCAGCCTTCCAAGTGTGCAGGAGAAACTTTGGGGCTTTTTTGGAAACATGGCAGTAAACATACATATGAATGTTATAATCAATTTCTGCCAATAGACAATAACCTAAATGTTACAAACTGGACCTATTAAGACTGACTGACTGCCTCTAAAAACACTTGATGTCTATCAGTCGTTTCTAAAGTCAGCACAGTTTCTGACAACTCCAGAATATTGCAATGATACTGCAGGATTAAGAACATTGTAAATCCCAGGCTATGCTTAGTTTTCATTAGGATGCGCCGGAGACAGACAGTGCTCTGCAGTGGTTACAAACAAAAGATGGATAATTTGGGCTTCCTGTTCGCAGTTAAGGAAGAATCAACTTAGTTTGATTTAATACAAATCAGCTCAACTTATTATTTTCTTTATATTTTCTTAAAAATAATAGTTATTACAATGATTACTTTACAAAGAATGAGACACGTTATTTTCCAAACTGCATTGACGTCACTAAACTAAATTGGAAATGAAACCTTTAAACCTTAGAAGTAAATAAATCAAAGTGCTGTTTAAGTTCTACTTGTATTGACTTCATAATAATAATAATAAATGAATATTAATTTCATAACACTTTCCCTGCATGATTTATTTACTACACAGCAGTTGATTACAGTAGTTTTGCCCGATGCTGCTGATGGTGGCACACAACAGCCACCTCTGCCCAGCAACCTCCCGCCCACACCGACCCCACACCACCCGCCGTCCGTCCGACCCACTTATCCGTAATCATCCATAATCACGGCTACGTTATCCAGGCTTAAGCGCTTGCACGTTCAGAAGGGAAGATTAGGAAGGAAAGATATTCCAAGTTGTGTCCCTTGTACTGAGCTCGCACACACAGACAACACATGCAAGCACACACACACATTTACTCCCACCACTGTGCTTTGAAGTGATGATATGTCCAGGGGTTTAAAGTCCCCCCTAATAGATGGATTTTCAGGAATAGGGGCATTAACCCCTTCTCTCATGATGCCTCTTAAAGTATTTTCAGTGTGAGTCATTTAAGTCTGTTTAAAATCTGTCTGAGACAGAGGAAGACGAGGATCATGTCAAAGAAATTAAGTAGATTGATTGATAGATAGTTAGAACAAGAAATAGTTTTGACATTTTGTGAAATATACTTATCTGCTTCCTTGCTGAGAGTAAGATGAGAAGATTGTTGTCACTCTCTCGTTCATGTGGTTATATATAGCTTAGCATAAAAACTGGAAACGTGGGGAAACAGCTAGCTTGGCTCTGTCGCATAATTTATGAATCCCACTGCTGCTTTTTATGCCCAGATATGCCCTGCATACCCTTCAGGTGCTGGGTTTGGCCAGGTGCCCATGCTCATCAGGTGACACACAGGAAGCCTATATACATAGTATGAATAGCACCAAATTTAGGCAGAGGGTAGTGGTGGATGAATGGGATAAACACAGCATCTATACCCGGGAGGTTTGGGTTCAACTCCTTGTGAGACAATATTTTAGACTTAGTTGACTTATAATTTCTTTTTAAATCATCTTCAGTTTTCAGTCACACTTTGGGTAGGTTTAGGACAATAATTTTACTTGAGTTAAAATGAAAGCTTTCACAATGTTAACCACATGTTCTGCCAGAAAACCTCTCATATGGGGCAAATATACCTGAAAGCATGCAAAATGAGCTTTTTCCTATTAAAATGTCTGCTTAATTTCTTTGATATCCTCGTCTTCTTTGTTCCTCACTGAATCCTATTCATTTGTAATGGAAGGGTAATGTTGATAATTGCTAGGTTGGTTTAGTAACATCTCATACTGTACAGCGCTCCCGGCACCACCTTTGTTGTGGTTTGATGAAAATTATTCAATTTTCTGCTTGCCAGGTCTTTTTGTGAGATTGTCAGTGAAATGACTCAGCAAAAGTTTCTCTTTATGGAGCTTCAACGCAATATCGCTGACCCTCTTTGAACAGCTTTACAAAGGTCGGTAGAATCTCACCTTCTGATGTGGGAAACATAGGAAACAGATTTGCTCTAGAATGGTTTTCATAAGCCGAACAAAAAAAAAAAGACCCTAATTGAACTCAGCTTGAATTGCAAGTCTACTGCCTGGAGCTGCAGAATACTTGATTATGTTTTTTGGGGATTTAATAATATCTGTGGTCTGTACTTTTAATCTTTAACCACACAATCTAAAGCTTATGGATGCACACAAGCAAAAAAGAAAAAAAAGGAGAAAAGTGTGTTTTGCCTTTTTTTCATGCATCTTTTCATTAGTGCCTCAGAATGCCTCACATAACCTCGTAACAACCTCTTGCTTTTCATTTATGGTACTCTACATTCGACTCATTGTACTGTATTTCCTGTACAGTGATCAGTCCTTGAGTTCCTTTTTACAGAGATGGAATATATTTATATGTTTATATGGGTGTATAGAGTATGTTTGCATGTCTCCTTGAGGCTTTTATTTTATTTTATTTGTGACTATTTCAAATGTGAGTTTTAGCTATGCACTGTAGAGGTTCATTGTTTTGCTTTATGCAAAGTTTTGCTCCACTTCAAAGTGCCACAGCTCCATTCACATTCTGCTATATTTTCCCTTTGATCTGTTCCTTCTGGCAGGTATGCCTACACACTCTCTCCAGCATCAAATAACATCACATGCCATTTCTTTGACAATCCTTTGACCAGAATACTTGGCTCAAGTCTCTGCCAGCTCACTTAATCTTCCCTCCACACTCTCACCTTATTCTTCCATCTGCTGATGGAAATGAGACCTCTTGTGTATTGCGTTCACTTTCGGTTAAAACTCAAACTTTTTTTTCACAAATTTCAGAGTAATTTCTATCTTTTTTATGTTCATAGGCAGTGTCTCGGAGGAACACAGGAGTACACAGCTCATCTCTGCTCTTTTCACGTTGAAGCATCTTTGTCTCTTGACACCAGACAGTGTTTTATAAAAAAAAAGACAAATATGACAGTTTCCAGAGGTTTAATAACAAATATGGGCAAACAGGACAACATTAGACTTCAGTTGGATGTTTAACTGATTGAAATGACACCTGCCTGTCTATTTGTCTATACTTATTTCACTGCTAACTAATTCAGTATTCCCTAACATTACACTAATTTAACTTTAGATATTGAGCTAACAATATCCTCACCAGTATTACCCTCCAAATGAACACCACCACTTGAACTTATTTAGTGGTGATTATGATAAAACTTGAACCATATGTGGGCAGAGACTAAGTGCTATTTGATGTTTCATTACTCTACACAATTAAACACTTGAAATTCCATTTAAGTAAGTTTTACTTTTTAATATTCCTGTAATAGACAGCACAATCGTGGCTATACTGGGTACATAAATCTGTCAGCAACCTTTACTATATATAAAAACATCTGTCTGTCGCAACACATATTTGAGCCTTATAAGGTTAATTTCTGCCCGTAGAACAAGCCAGTGCTGGTAAGCCAGCAGCATTGGGTGGTGAAAGCAAACAAATCTGTTCATGCATTATTCAATTCTCTGCTTTCTTTTTGGACTTGAAGTCCATAGCTAGCCTCACTAAAGAGACACTCAAGACTAGTAGCCACCACTATTGATGTTTGGCAAAACGTTGAGGAGAAGGTGCCAGATTAGGACGCTTTTAGTCAAAGCCACAGGGATCCACTGGAGAGGGGCCAAAGAGCTGCATGCAGCTACCCAGCTGCAGGTTTCCAACCCCTGCACTGAACCTTTATTAGGAATGTCCAACCCAAAACATATAATATATAATATATAATATATTTTTGAAAAACCTAATATGGTCACAGCTTTTGTCACTACAGCCTGGTCTGGTATGACCGATAGCTTATAATGTTAACAAACTATAGATAGATTTTGCGGCGTACCTGACATTACTGAGTGAGTTTATTGACTTAACCCTCATCCTACCAACATAACATACAAGGACCATCAACTGTGGTTCCTGGAGACCCCAATACACATTATTAATTAATGTCATCTGAAAAACCCTAATCCTAACCCCGAAACAGATTATTATTATTTTAGGAAAGTTATAGTTAATTTGCCCATAGGGCCAGCTGTTCAGCAAAGGCACCTTGGATTTCTTTAACCATATTTTGTTTTATTTATTTCTATTGTGTCTCTAAACAGGGGTCTTCTGGAAGTTTTACAGCTGGACTTTGTGCCAAAAGATGTTTTGGAGCAGACTGAGAGTCAGACGATTTCCTGGCGCCTGGAGTTGCCGGGGAACATCAAGGATGTCGGCACTATGCGGATCTACACAACTCAGAAAGACTATGTGGGGCTTGCACCTCTGGTCATGGTGAGGAAAATGTCCCTATTCATATCTGTACTGTTTGAAATGCGGACTTAATTTTAAATTGTTTTGCTTCTTACATAAATATTACAGATAAAAACACTGTATTCCCTGTATGGTGCAGGTTAAATGACCTATTGTATCTATTATAGTTTTACTATTCCTGTATTATACCAATTATTTAGTGTTTACTTCATGTGAAATTAGTATGTCATACAAAGCAAAATTTCAGTGTTTCAAATCACCTCTGCCTGTGATTACACTACGATCTGTGATGCATTCATATTATTATTACATACAGATGTCAACATGAGTCAAACTAAAACTAACTAACTAACTAATTAGGGAGCAAATATGTTTTATCTCATTCACAGGATTCACATGAGGAAAAAAAAATTGTTCTCCTGCAACAGTGGAGAGAATAGACTTATTTCATAAGACGGCTGTGTGTGTTGTTTTATACTCCTATACAAATTACTGTTACAACCGCATGTGAACCATCACACCATTGCAGCTGCATGAGAAAATGTAAGTTTAAAACAATCAGCAAATAAGGCTGCATGTTTGATTTTCTGACCTCCCGCGTGGTGTTTGCATATCTTTCCCATGATGAAGAAGTCATCTCCCTTACATAAAAAATAAATAAATAAATGATTGGATGATCAAACAACACCAAGTCTTACAACAGAGTGTAAATATAACACTGTTTTCAGAAAAGAATCAGATTTAAAATATAGCTGAACTACTTTAGCCGAACTTGATCACTGCAAGCCAGATTATTGCAGAGCTTGTGGAAACATTGGACGTCAGGATCTCTCAGCGTGGCACTGCCGGCACCACAGAGCGCTGATATTGCTTTCTGATTTTGTGCTCTCCCTGATCCAGTGGCTTATGTTTGGGTCAGTGTTGCAGTCTGAACTAGAACATGTCCTTTTGGAATTGCGGTCAGCAGCTGTCAAGCCGACAGAGTTCAGAATGCGAGGCTGCCGGGGAACATCTGCCGAGTGTTGCCTGATGCTTTAGTCTGCAAGCATCCAGAGGAAAAAAAAACAAAACACTGATCACCCAGAGCTTCTTACACATACACACTGCCATTACCTATAATAGATTAAAAAGATGTTATCAGAGATCTTATGAACTGGAAAGTAGTTGTAAATCCATGTTGAAGAAGCAGTTCAAGTGTAAAAATAAAGCTACATCAGGCTTGATGACAACTTGTGGGATGTATGAGAGCTAAGCTGCCGCTAAGCATTGGCAAAGATTGAACAGGGCAAGGTGGGAAAATGGGTTGGAAGATTAGAAATGTAATCAGGTTTAGGTGTTTGAGTGGTGATCTACTGTATGTATAACACAGTACAGTAGAGGATTTATTTTCATCCAGGTGTGCGAGTTTGTTAGAGACCGACATGTACTGTATATTATCAGCACAGAGATGCTTTATTTCTGTGAGCACATCTGTCCAGTTTGTGTGGGGTGTTGCATCACTGTGATTATAAATGAATCAAGTTTGTGAGCCTGCAAGTGTTTTAATCCCTGTTAGTCTTGCTAACACCCTCTGCCTGTCATCCCTGTCCTCATACAAATAGTGATGATTGTGTTGTATAATGTATTTGTCCAGCAGGATATTCAAAAACAGTTTCTCATGCAATGTGTCCAAATCCTGATTTCTATATATTTTCACAAGCTAGTAGATTGTTATTTATTTTTTTTTTTTGGGGGGCGGGGGTTAGAGAAATTCTCCTATGTTTTGTACATACCCAGAGTACTTGATAATGGTGGATTTTTTAAAAATCTGTATGTAGTTTGAAGTAATACTGAACATGCTAATTGGTAAAATTATTATTTCTGCTGCTTTGGCAGCTGGGGAATGAAGTACGATAATAAGCCAAATATTGGACCGAACCAGTAATACTGACTTTTACCACTGCTTGATGCACGTGACTTAGCTGCTCCTGAGAGTAATATGAGAGCCCATGGGTGCAACGGCTTTCACAACTGCCCACTACTGCACTGGTTTAAGCTCTTACACTGGACAGGACCGGCAAAACCAGAAACTGACCCAACCCTAAGGTGAAGAAGAAGAGGACTGCATGTTTGATCAACTCAAGTCCTTATTTCTGAAAGTACAACTTGAAGTGTAGGTAGAGCGGCCATTCATCTCTCGAAAAGAAATCTTACATCTGACATCCAGCAGTTAAACTAAGCTAGGCTACTCTCAGCCTTCAACTTTCAAACCACACAGAGAAAGGATCTCCTATTCTATTTTTGTTTCCCTCAGCGTCTTTGTACATGGCAGTGAATAGCTCTGTACCAACCCAGACTAAGAACCTGCTTTTGATCTGCCCTTCTTTCTGCACAGAACACTGATATCTTGAATACTGCAATGCTGACAGGGAAAATGGTGTCAGTCCCTGTGAAAACGCTGGCTGTGGAGGTCGATGGCTCAGTCACAGATGTGACCAACTTCACCAGCTGTAGATCTACTGAGGAGGATGTACTCAAGGTAAGCCATTACAGCCACAACTCTACTCAGCTTAAATTGAAATGTAATCATTGTATTGTGTGCACAATATTGAAAATGCATGAGAAATATTTAGGTAGAAATAGCATTTGTAATCAACCTGGGAATATACCTTATAGTGTATTTGCACTTACAGAATTGGGTAAATGCATGAATCCTTTGTTTCATACAGCAGTAAATCAAGATTTTGTTTTAAAATTCCAACTAATATTCCCAAACTATTTGTAAATCATAAATATGACACAGTTTTTTATTTGAACGTGTGGTAAATGAATTATATAAGGTGAAAAACAAACAAATTCTGTCCTTTTATGCCAGCTATCTAACTCTTCGATGAATCTTGCAGGTATAACATTGCTGTACAATACTTTTCAATTCTGTTTCTCTTTAGTGCATTAGTGCCACATAACATGTTAATCTAAAATAATGTGAAACTGAGCAGCTTGACCATTCCGTAGTCACTGTGAATGCACGCTTCACAGTATGCATAAATGATACATAATCAGTTAAATGTGTTTTAAAGTGATGGAAACATACAGTAACTTTTTTATATACATATAAAAAACCTAAAAGCTTTTGTTTCTCTCATATTTAATTCCAGTGTGGAATATTATTCTGACCTAATTTGCATATAAAGCAAGTTTGCTGAGTGTTTGACAGTAATTAAACTGGCTGTGGATACATTGAAGAATAAGACTCATTCTGGTGTCCAAGATATCCACCGTCACCCTGCCATCCTACTCAACAGGTCCAGTTTGAGCGTGTGTGTGTGTGTGTGTTTGTGTGTGTGTGTGTGTGTGTGTGTGTGTGTGTGTGTGTGTGTGTGTCTGAGTGTCAAAGTATCGTGGATAAAAGCAGTCTCTCCATATGGCATTAGAGACTGAGCTCATGATCCCACCACTCAGTCCATAAGCACAGTGATATGACCTTCATGTAATGGATCCATGTTACTGGGGCAGTAGGAGAGAGCAGAGAGAGAGAGAGCGAGAGCGAGAGAGAGAGAGAGAGAGAGAGAGAGAGAGAGAGAGAGAGAGAGAGAGAGAGAGAGAGAGTGAGGGAGACGGAGGAGAAGAAAAGGAATTATATTATTTTCCATTAGACGACACGGCAGCCATGGCTTTGTGAGGGTTTGGCAGTGTGTTTAAGTGTGTAAGCTCAAGAGAGTGCGAAAGAGCTAAAGAGGGAGTTTGTTTGTAATGATTTTCTGTATCAGTAGAGGAACTTAATCCAGTTATTATTGTGTCTCTGAATAGTCTCTGACGCTTTCTGCGGTCACTGACCCCTTTTAAAGCAATGCCACTGACCAGATGATGTTCAAGCTTAAAACTGTAAACTTTACCTTTTATACAATAACTGCCACAAGGGTGAATCTCTATTAGGGACAAGTTCACACACAGTACACAAACTCTTCGATTTAGCTGCAAGCTAACTTAAAGTCCCTACTTTTATTTTGTGTTGATTCTGGCGTCCTCCGTGGACAAAAGTATTACTGTTTTCAACACGTCATATCAGTGATTTCAGGTGGAATCCGATTCAAGCCAATCTTCTTGCTGATCTTGTTTGTTTATGTAGGTCATATAAAGGTATCAGTATTAAACTGAGACTGTTTCATAACTCCTTGTACTATATTTAAGATTGGCTGTGTATGCATGGACAAAAGTTAGTGTGGTTGCACATTCAAGCCCTTTTTAAAGCGTAATTTATTGATTTTTCATGCCCAATTGGGAGCAGCTGGAACAAACTCATATTGACATATTATCACAATATAAATTTGTTATGGGGAACAAGCAAACACTTGCCTATTTACACACTCAGCAGCTGCAGTGCAACATTAGTATTCATTTAAAGTCGTGTTTCCAGCCACCTGGTGAATTTAAGTTCAATATTCTCCACCAATTCTTAAAGCAGTATCTAGCTCACAGTTGTTGAATCCTCCACTCTGTTCACCAACTAGCTGAAAGATGCAAAAATGTTCCATAGATGAGTCAGTCGGGTGATAACGGTGTGTTTGTCACTTTACACTGCAGTCATTGAACTATATTTTAATATGTTGATTGGTGCAGCTTTAATTACAAATCATGTATACTTTTTATTTTTTAATGGACATATGAGGTTGGATATTTAGTCATTTCATGCAGCTATTAGCCTCTATTCATTTCTGTCATTTCTGTTTTTCCTTTTTTGTTTTGCATGTTAATTGGTGCTTTTTTTGTTTTGTTTTTATTTTTGTCCATGCTTGTACTGTATATGTTATCTTGCACACAGGTCTCTCTTAATTAAGGATTATAAATACATTGTCACGAGAAAGTAAAATGCTGATTGATTTGAAAAGTCACACTGTGTTTTTGCATAATTTCCAAACTTTGACGAAAATGAACACATACATGAGTAAGTTTCACAAGTCTACTTATAGATTTTCATATAGCTTAAATGCAGCAGGATGGTTTGCATAATGGGTAGCTGTGATTGATGTAAACTATACTTGATGTGCTAAAACATGCAAAAGCTCTGCTATTGGTGTTTTAAGATGCATTTTTAAAATACAGTTGGCCAACAACAGTGAATATAGACAGAGCTGACCACAAAAGAGTAAAGAAAGAAGTGCTAAAATAGGCCCATGGGAACTGTTTTAAACTAATTTAAAACGTTTTAATTTTGATTGTTTTTATCATCGTGTCATTGCTGAGCTGATTTAAGTGCGTATAGAGTTTTTGTCCATTGACTTAGAGTCTGTGTAGTTGGAGAGCTGCACAAAACATCAGAAATTTTGGATGGGAAAATGTCTTCACAGACTGGTCCCCCTCAACATTTTCATAGAAGTTCAAGTTGACTTACCTTGGAAGTCATTCCTCCCTCTGCTTTTTCCGCCTCCCCCTTTTCACCTCCCTCTCCAGTGCTACACTCTAGTCTCCAGTCTAGTGCCCTCCAATTACCTCTGTGGAGCCACTGGTTTGTTAAGATAAGTGAGGCGGCAGTGGAGATAGGCCTCCAATCTTAAATAAAACACACCAACTGCTGTGTCTCACCTCATTGCTCTCACTGGTGGGGACTTCAATGCTCCCACCTACAGTACAGCACTACAGGAACAGTCATAAGGCAGGACTAATTTATATTCGGTAGCAGTTTCATAGAGACCACGGTCGTGAATTTACATGACATAAACATTGTGCAATTCCCTGGCCAGACTTTGAAAGTAGTGGGAAATGAATTAAATGTGTGTGTCTCTGTGGTTTTAGCTTATTTGTATTTGCGCCTCTGTACCCACTCTCCTCTCTTTGTCAGTTCTTTCTAAAACTTTCTTATTCATTTGCCATGGGGCTTTACGTGGAAAAACCTCATCCAGTGCAAGTCTGGAGAAAGTTAAATCCAAATCACTAGACGACAGTTAAGTCCCAACTAGTCCAGTGATTCTAAAGTAATTTTGAACTTTTTAAAATCACTTTCTTGCCCAATATCAAGATATTTATAGAGTGCTGGCCTGGCAGAAAGAAAGGAACGCTGCCTGTTTTTGGGGCCGGGTTCAAACTCAGGACAATGCCCATGGGCCCGTCATTCACCTTTCCACTTTCTCCTTTTTTTCTTGTCTGTCTTGTCCAGGTGTCGGAGCGATGTGACTATTTGTATGTAAACGGGAAGGAGACGAGAGGAAAGAGCAGGGTTATGCTCAACTTCACTTACGGGTTCCTGAGTGCCCAGCTGGAGATGAGTGTATGGATACCCCGCCTGCCCTTGCTCATTGATGTGACGGACCCCGAGCTCAGCCAGATCAAAGGCTGGAGGGTCCCTGTAACTACAGGCAACAGGAGGTAAGGCCGGACCAGTTCTGTGTCAAACAGTCACATTGCTGTACAACTAGTTGCCAGAGGTACCGTTGACTTCTGAGGTGAAATTTCAAACTGTTAATTGAGAACAGAGACGCCGTGCAGTGCTATTATACAGTATGGGTCAGGTGAAGCAATGGGGCACTTGAAAATGTTTTCAATATATTTGTAACCTTAATAGTTAAAAGCCAAGGTGGTACAAAGTAATTGTTTTCTAAGTCTCAAGTCTTTTCTATGAAGGGAGTCAAGTCCAAAGTCAATTCCAAGCCCTAAACTTTGTGTTTTGAGTCCTAAACAGGTAATTATGTACCTAACGTTACTGCTTGCCACAGAGAGCTAAATTAGACATGATTGATTGTTAATTGATTTTAAAAGACACCAATATTAACTGCGATGGGGCCTCGTTGATATCATTTTGCAAAATTAACTACATAACTTTTAGCTCTTTGCTAACATTAGGCTAAGGTATAGCTGGCCAAAAAACATCAGTGCTAGCCTAGTCCATTAACTGGTCTTTGTTAAACCGAAAATGTTAACATATTTGGAAGTTGCTACGTTTCCATGTAAGTTTTTTGTGCTGAATGTTAAGCTTGCGGCATGTTTTTTCTTGAACAGTCTTCGATAATCCGAGGTATCATCTGTTCGTGTAAAAAGTTTTAAAGAGTTAATTTGCTGCACCCTATATTACAATATAATTTTATTATATAATTTTGAATCTTTAGACATCAAGTAATTCCAAGTCAAAAGGTTAAAGTCATGTTGTTTGAGTCCACGCCTCTGGTTAAAGAGCTTAATGTAAGAATGTATACAAGAGATTCCTACACTTACACTCCTCTTCTAGATGTTTTTGTTGAGTTTGTTATTTCCTGTCAAGTGAATGATGTATTTAAGTGGTGTTTTCATATGTAAGCAACCAATCACTGCGTTATGCAGCTGATCCTCTAGAGATATTAAGAAGGAGAAAGCATCAGCTGCAACACATGTACACTGAGTTACCCATGCAAGACATCTTACTGTGCCTTTGTGAAGTTTATAATAATCAGTTTTTGTTGACACAGTGTCAGAAAGATGTGGATTCAGCTGTATGGTAATTTTTGCTTCTGTTGTTAGTGGTGGTGTTGAACTAGATTACAGCATTATTGAGACATTTCTAATATCCGTCTCTATATTGTATATGTACAGTCGTAAAATCCTCACATCTGTGTTTGGTGCATTAGTGGGTAGGGTACTGTAGAGGCAACACAGTTGCCCTGAAGATAAAGGTTAGTGGAATTTCACTCAATACTTACAGTAAAGTCATTATTTTTTACTCAATACTAATGATAATGGCTGATGGTCTGTTAGTTTTCTCCAGGGTAAAAACTCTTTGGGGCTTTCATTTCCCCAAACATTCAATACTTGGCTCCAGACACAAACAGATACTAGGTCAGAAATGTGGAATTCTTATGGTGATTGTAATGGCCAGGCTCATGATAAGAAAGTGCTGAATATTCTGTGCCACTCCTGTGTTACTGCAGAGAAACAACTGGAATTGATAGCATCATACAAAAAACTTTTCATCATTCATGAAACATCCTCACCCCATTGCTTTCTTTGTTGTGTGTGTGTGTGTGTGTGTGTGTGTGTGTGTGTGTGTGTGTGTGTGTGTGTGTGTGTGTGTGTGTGTGTGTGTGTGTGTGTGTGTGTGTGTGTGTGTGTGTGTGTGTGTGTGTGTGTGTGGGTGGGTGTCAAGCTGTAAAACAGTATAATTTAAGTGAAAGTTTTTTATTTTATTTTTGTCTCAAAATAGATTGAAATGCATCTACACTTGCAATCAGTTAACAGTGCCAGAGTTTAATTAACACTAATTATAATACCATATTCGTTGATGTTAATAAGCAGCCTGGAAACACCATAGAAGACATGATGGCTCAAGGGTCATCAAAGAACTAACAGAAATGTTGAGTTACCATGGCAAAGAGACTCTACATAAAAACTTAAAACTGTTCAAGTGTTATTGGAAAGTATGATTTTGAAAAAGAACAAAAAGGCAATTAGACAAATCACTGGTGCTGCAAATGATGTAATTTTAAAGACTCATATTTCAAATCAAGACAAATATAAGACACATATATAGATATAACTTGAAATGCATACAGTTTATTGTCTGCAGGTGTGAGGCCGGTACACTATTAATAACCATGAGTTAGACAAAAGGATGGAGGAACCAGGTAGTTCGCTGTGTGGTGTTGAGTCACACTTGTTTAATTCAAGCCACATTTCCAACGTATGTTAAGTTCTGACCCGAGGCTATATAATAATGATGTTTATTTGGACTGTAGCTCTCGACAATAGCTTTCACCCTGCGGTATGAAAGCATATCCACCAGCCCTCCAGCACACCTGTGGTGCAGCGTGTGGCAGACCAGCTTTGCTTATGATAATTATATGATCATTGCTGAGGGGTTTGAGGATAGTTCACAGCTTAACCTCTACCGCCCACAAACAAACCAGCCGGCTGTGGGATCCTGGTTAATTTAACTTAAATTCATTTAGAGGAAAGGTCACTCAGCAAATGTTTTATGCCCCTACAGCATCAACAATCCCACTGCTGGTCTCCAGTATTGTTCTTGAGTTCATTGTCTCTCTGCTGGCCAACAGAAATGACATTTAGGGGTTCATACCACAGTTTATCAGCCTAACATGTTTTGTAGTGTTTGTTTACAATTTAAATAAGGAGATTTCAACACTCATAATATTAGAATGAGTCTCATTTTACTGAATAATTTAGCCATTTGGTTAAAGCTTAGTAAAAGAAAATGCATTTAGACCTACTGCTACCCAGAACTATTTTGCAGCAGGTCCTTAAAATTCACATTTCACAGAATTTACACTTACAGTGTATATTCATCTGCATATCTGTGAAAAAGCAGAACAAAAAACCAACACCACTGCATGCAATAACTGTTATTCATTCAAGCTACAGTTAGAAGGTGGTTAGCTTAGCTTAATTTAGCATAAAGACTGTATGCCGGGGAGATAGATAACTTGGATCTGTCCTAAGGTGAAAAAACTGGATCATGTGTTGGTCTGTTTCATGCCTGGCCAATAAATAATTCCTTGTAAAACCACAACTTCTCATTTATACACTTTTGTTTTTGTATGGTTAAACAAAGAATATATAACATGCTGATTAGTGTGCTGGTAGGCAAATTTTGTCACCTTTGGACAGAGACCATACTAACTGTTGCACCCTGCTTCCAGTCTTTATGCTAAGCTAAGCTAACCGTAGCTAAGCTAACCTTAGCTTCATATTTAGTGTACAGGCACAGAATGATGCCATCCTTGTAATCTAACTCTCAGCAAGAAAGCAAGAAAGCTTGTTTCCTAAATTATACCTTTTGAACTGTATGCATCTTACTGTGTCTGATTACGTTTGTGTGTCAGGTCGACATGGGACAGTGAGGAAGAGGAGGAGATGAGGAAGGGCAGGGGTTGCATGCTGCAGTACCAGCACTCTGCACTCAGGGTGCGTACACACTTCATCGCCCAGGCTGATGCTGAGGTGCTGCCTGACCCGCTAACTGGGGTAGAGCCTGTTGAGTACTTCATGGGTCCTGATTGGCAGGTAAAAACATTTATCAGTCCTAACCGAAACTGACATACCAGAAATGAGTAGGTTATTCAGTCTAGAACTAGATTGGTCAGTAAATGGAAGTCTCATGTTCCAAAAGTTACAACAGCTAGCTAGACCCAGAATTAGTCAAATGATAATATAACAGTTATTATTGCAGTTTTGCAGGACTAAAAATATATATTTTTTCTCTTTTGATTGACAGGTGGATGTGACCAATCTTGTACGCCATTCTCTGAAAGTGGCAGATCCTGATGTAGCCAGGGTGCAGGATGGTGTGGTGCTGCAGGGACGTGCTGTGGGCACTACTACTGTACAGGTGAGCCATGATATATGTGTGTGTATGTATATGTGTGGTTTCAGCAGTTGCAGTGCATACCAGAATCATGTATATACATACCGTATACATATATGTGCAGTTTGGATGAGGATTCACTTGTTGCAGGTGCTGTCCCCTCTGACGTCGTTGGTCCTGGCTGAGAGGAGCATCAGGGTGGTGGATGATAAAGTGAGTGTGACAGAGCTGGGGGTGCAGTTGGTTTCTGGACTCTCTCTGTCCCTGCAGCTCAGCTCAGGGAGCAACAAGGCTATCGTCGCCACGGCAACCACACGGGAGATGATCACGCAGCTCAAACAGGTAAGTAACTGGAAAATTGTAACATCTAAAGCATAAAAGTGTTGGGTACAGCTCAGCTGTTCGTGATGGTACTTGTCTCTTGTTATGCCTATTAGTTTTACAGTTACTCATTTTTAGCCTTGTCACATAAAAGTGAGTGAAGGACTGTTCATCAGAATGTGAAAGTCTTTTTTGGACAAGAAATAAACAAAAGCAGTGAACAATCTACGTAATAATAATAAACTCTAAATTCAGTGTGGGATTGTAAAAGCCCTTGCAGCTTATTGTGGGATTATTTATGATGAAGAGTAAATCATGGAGTTTCTGTTTTATTCTTATTTTGAATCAGTGAAAATTGTATAGATTTGTCATATAATGCAGAACCACATATTTTGTTCATGATTAGTTGATTTCTAAAGTAACCATAAAATGTTATCTTTCAAAACAAAATAAATAGAATGTATTCTTAAATTCAACAGTCCTAATTTTCCTTTAATGGAAGAATACACAAAACGCCCACATTCTTAAAATCACAAACTCTCTCTTGCCTTATAACTTACGTATTGGAAGTCTCTGATCCACTGCAATGAGAACACCTGTCACTATTAGCCCCATTAACAAGGTTTCATGAGAGAGTTTACCTAAGAGCACAAACACAAGTACTAAATCAAGACTGCTATAAGCTCTGATTAAATATCAAAGGTGAGAGCCCACAGTGTGTTTGTCTGTATTTATTCTAACTGTGTAATTATTTATTGGCTCTTTAACAAGAAAGCTCTTTCCTTCTTGTAGTGATCTGCTACCATTGCAGCAATGCTATTTGAGCAATGTCTCACATCCATTCTTTTATTGTTTTTCTTTTTGAATATGTAGGCACTTAATAAGCAACCCTTGGCATTCATCTATGACTTCCACTGACAAGGTTCCTCCTTTTATTACAGAGCATAAATAAAGTCACATTCCTCAAGGACCTGCATTTTAAGACCAACATACTTCTTGCACTGTTAGCAGATTAGAAAAAAATGATTTGTAGCTACTCTTTGATTTTCCCACATGCAAATCAAACCTTGTACGTAAGACTTATGTATTGATCTTTGTGTTTAGATTTAGGATTTAGCACTTAATCATAGTCTTGCTGAAACCAAATGAATTGCCTCCATTGCAGCTGCAGTTAGCCCTGCTTAACTGATTAATTGATTTGATTGATCCTAATGTTGATTTAATTAGATTGGATCCTAAATCTACTGGGTTATATACGTGTGCCTGGAGAGTGCATTGTCAGGACCATTGTGACCAGCAGGGAGACAAATTCCTTGCATCATACTGTATTTAAGCATCAGTACTTGTACTACTACCGCGTCAAGTGTTTTACAAGACATCTATTGGGAAAGAATAGAAGGAAGGCACTACTGTGCGTAGCACAGAAACATTTTAGCAAACATTTTGATATGTTAGGATTCAGTGGATACAAATAATGGAACTTTATCATGCAAGGAATCAAAAGGTTGTAAAAGGGGGAAAAGATTTTTTTTTTTTTTTTTTTTTTTTTTTTTATTTTTAATAAAAAATTTTTTTTATCTCTTTTTTAATTAAAAAAAGTCCACCCCAAACCCTTTAATATTAATTAAAGAGCCCAACAGTACCACCATGAGCAAGCACTTGGCGACAATCCCTCCCTTGTTGCTTGGAGAGGTGGTTGGGGTTTTCCTTGTTATTTTCAAGGAATATGGAGGTAAATTTTGGCATCTCATTGTTATGATCTCTGTATTCCATGTCCTACGTTTATTTATTTAATCTTCTTCATGAAAATACTGCCACCTAATGACGCAGATTGCAAATGCAGTACATCTAACGTACATTTCTGTAAAGTAAAGTTTCACGGCCAGTGCTGCAGGTTACGCACATTTTCTGTCCCCTGGACATTTTCTTCTGTATATTGAAGCAATCGAAGTGCCTCACTAGTCTTTATTCCTCCATTGTCATGGTGGAAAGTAATTGATCATTTTGGACATTATGTATGCTGTTTCTTCAGTTAGCATAAAGCATGGGTTACTGCACTGCACTTAATCTTCAACAGCTTGTCAGAGATGAGGACATAATAGAACCCTCTCTACTCAGTACTGAACATGGAAGAAGAAAATAAGCCTGAAGACAGAAATAGAGGATTTAGAAATTCAATCCGTATGCTCACGTTCATCACAATCATCCTGTTGATCAAAAGCCATCATGGCTCTAGCTATGGCACGAGCAAAAGCAAAGACAGCCAGAGCGGCTGTCTCACAGAAAGAAATAGATATCAAAGTACTGAGAGTGAAGATTAGCGCATAGCTAAAAGTACTAAAGCAAGAAAAGGAAAAGGAAGCAACATTTGCTGAGGCTGTGGCATTAGAGGCAGCATTTGAAGCTGACGACTCACCTGGCAAACTTAAAGCCTCTCCCACTTAGCAAAGGCAGCATGACCTTAGCACTGACTATAAACAGCACCCTGCTAACATTAGTCTGGGTGAACAGCTGGCCCCAAAAAAGGAAGATATGAGACCCTCCTCATAGGAGTAGTTCAGAAGCCCTCTACCACATCTTCATAGACAAACTCAACACAGTTAAAGGTTTGGACTTAACTGCAGCGGAGGAGTTTGACCTGCTTGTGAAGGGGTTGGGGAAAGAATCCTCAGAGCATGCACGTCGGATCAAATCTGTCCACATCAAACACCCAGTAGCTGTGCTGAAAATTACATGGGAACGGCTAAAGCAAAGCTATGGGACAACCGAAGCTATCGAAAGGGCTATTTTTGACAAGATTGGAGAACTTTCCAAAAATAGCCAACAGAGTCCCACAGAAGTTTCGGGACCTAGCAGACTTGCTACTGGAGCTTGAGGCAGCGAAACATGATGACTTACTCCTAGATTATCTTACCTGGACACAGCCAGAGGTATCCATCCCATCATCGAAACGTCCATACAACCTCCAGGACAGATGGACATCCTATGGTGCAAGATAGAAGGACGTAGTTTAGTTAATCCATGATGAAGCTAAGGCTCTAAATTACCAGAGTTTCATCCTTCCTTCATCCAGTAACACTCCTTTCAGGAGAGAACATCCCGATGGAGGCTATGGTCATATGAAACTCCGGGTGTCAGTCCACGAGACTCAGGTGGCTCCTCCAGTTCAGGAAGGCAACTGACCTACTTAAGAACTATCCCATTCACAAAACGCCACACACATACAGATAATGAAAAGAGGTTTTCAAAGACAGTTCAAACAGTTGTGTTGGCCTACCTTTCTGTTTACCAAGGAGATAGCTGCCAAATAACAAGAGAATATGTCCACGAACCCCTTACAGAGGGTGCCATTCGGAGTGATGGATTATAGCTGGTAGGAAGAAGAAGGTGCATTCAGAGCACAATTTTTTAATGTGTCACCTGCAGGAAGCTGCAGGGCAAGGTCGAACAGCAGCAGATGTCAGATCTTCTAATAGAAAGGCTGCACATAGCACCCCCTTTCACGTTCAGAAAAACTGAGCTTCTCAAGCAGCAATGAAAAGGTGGAGCTGTGAGTATCTTGCTACACTGCAAGCCAGGAGCAAGTGGCAGGACAAAAGGCCCAACTTAAAGAAGGGAGATATAGTCCTAATGAAGGATCTTCCAGTCAGGAGGCTTCAGCATAGCATTGAGCATACTCATAGTTGGAGATGAAAGTAGGCACTGATCTCTGTTTGAGTGAGATGTAAAATATGCCTCTTAGGAAAAAATATTTCCTGTCATGTTTGAACTAAAAGAAACTCTGCCCTCTATACTGTAATGAAGACCACATATACCTTAACATTATACGTATTATTGTGTTTGGTACCTAATAAATATCCTTTTGGAAATGTAAAGATCTGTTGGGGAAATTTGGCATTAATAAGCATGGTTAGTTATTACATTGTTCAACATCCGGATGTCCAAGCAGTGCAGGGTCAGTGTCTTTTGCACCAAGATTGTTTTCAACTGCTTAAATCCCCAAAAGCACAAAGAAAAAATTATCACGTTAGGTTCCTGCACAGGGAGCAGAAGCATTATATGCACCACAAACAATATCTTTGTAAACCTTCTGTGAAGGGTAAGGGGGGACTATGATATAATACTGTGTTATTAACGTATATTTGAAATGTTCATTTTCCAACAAAGACATAATAGGCTTCTACAGAGAGGATTTGAATTATAAGAATTGCCAAAACAGTGCAGAACAGTGCACGACAATGACCTTAAGGATATAATAACATTTGTGTTTTCTCTTTGCCTCTCCGAATGTGAACTCATTGTGTTCACAGCCCCCGACCATCATCTGCGGTTACCATGCTGTGCAAGAGAGCGGAAGAGGCAGACAGGGTGCACAGATGATCATTTTAAAAGCTCACTCACACATTTAGCCATGGCAGCTTGCCCATTTTAAACCAGCTTCCCGACCAAGGCATGGGGCAGCAATTAGGCGGTCCATAGCTGTTGGAACGACAGCTCACTTTACCTACAGTCACTGTGGCTGGCCTGGCTCTGTCAATAACAAACTATTAGCACCATGCCAGTGCAGATGACCAGCCAATTGTGTCTGTGATGGCAAACTGTTAATGTTCTGCTCAGGGCGATTCATAATGTATTCACACCCATAATATAGGTTAGTTCTGTGGCGACACAGGAAATAGGTCATTGTGTATTAATGTGATTGGATTGACTAATTCTGGTCTTAACATGACCCTTGCTGCTGTACTTTTTTGTCATTGTTTAAAGGACTTCTATTATACTCTCTTTATCCACTTTGGTTAAATGATATCATACTATGACTTCATGGGACTGTAATCTATGGTATAACAGCACCCTACTGTGTCTAATAATAAAGAGACGAGCATAGCAATTTAGTGCTATTAACAATCATGGGAATAAAGCTCTCACTTAGGAGGGGTGGGTAAAATTAGTGTAGAATGAGATGCAAAATAAAACCCACTTGATAATCATATTAAAAATAAGATAAAATTGAAAATAGCATACATAGAATGCATAAAATAAAATATGTTTTAAAAGACATGCAGCAGCGCTTAAGTGCAAAGCAAAGTGCAAAAGAGAGTTTCAGACCTGTATCAGGAAAATCGTAACTAAAGACTAAAGAGATATGTTTATATTATTATATTATATTATTATATATAGCAAGCTGGCTTCCCTGGTATCTACTACGCTGGTTCCCAACCTAGGGGTCGCCAAAGCTTCATGGGAGGTAGTGAGGCGTCCTTGATTTTAATGGTTGTAAGATAACTTTTTTTTAAATATGCAGTTGGCCTATGTTTCAGCATTTCATTCATTTCTGAAAGTAAAGTTTAGACTTTTATTTAACATATATAAACTTAAAAGAATCTTAGAGGATGAGGGCATGGTCATGACCTGAACACAAGCTTGTACACAGAGCCTTCCCCATGACCCTCCCCAACAGCCTCATCCTGCATTAGAAAAGTATGCAGTTAAACTAAAGAGCTAATAGACCAATAGCCAAGTATCAGAGAGAAGAAAATACTGACTTTGTCAAAAAAGAAACCTATTAAGTATGTATGATTGTTAAAAATTTAAATATATACTCAATACAGAGAATTGCATTAAAAGTTCATAAAAATAACAGGAAAACTAATCTCTAAAAACATCCAAATCAATTGTTAGGCACAAACTTCCTGTTGCATTCACTATTTGGGTTAATTGTACATTACTTGTCCTTGTTGTTATGCATTAAATATTATGTGAAATATCCATAACATATGTCACTCAGTCAGGGGTGAGGTTACATTAATCGAGTCCACTTGAAATACAGGCATGAATCTGATGAGTTTTTCAGCATCTTTTTGATCTATGAATGGTTTTAATGTTCCTGAGGTGGAAAAATAATTTGGACCTTCCTTTCTACATATGATCTCTGTATTGCTCAGTTATCAATGTCTGTTCTTTCCTTCTTTCAGGAAGCAGTGGTCAGCTGCTGGGTTCAGTTCAGCGATGGTGCAGTTGTTCCACTGGAGCTGTTTGACCGCAGTATCTACTCCCTGACAGTCTCTACGCCAGATGAGGGGGTGGCCACAGTCCGCCGCACCCCTCAGTCCACATTTGTAGTAGCACAAGGTGAAGGTGAAGGCCGGGGGGTGCTGGTGAGAGTGGAGCTGAGGATTTGCGAGGAATGCCAGAAGTCCAAAAGGAAGAGCAAGTTGGCAGTGGGCACGGCGCTCCTCAGCATCAACTTCCAAAGTAGCGCCAGGGTCTTAGCAGGAGGTGGTGGTGACGGGGTTGACACTGACAGAAATGATGATGGTGGTGCATCAGAAGTGGTAGGTGAGCTTAAAACAACAGTGACAGATATGGATAAATGGTTGTTCAGAACCACAGTACCAGACCAGAGAGAGACGAAGCTGGCAGAAACTACGACCTCAACCACATTTTCAACAAAATACATGCAGCCACAGGGCTCGTGGATTGGGGCTACAACCAAATCTACAAGAGGTACCACATATACTGTCATTTCCCCGACTGCCACTACAACTCTGAGCAAACCGAGCATACCGGTAAATACACCACTGAGCACGGCTAGACCTATAGATACAACAGTGGGTCTAGTTAGTCAAGGAGAAGGGCAGAAGAGAAGCTATGGGAACATGCTCGACAACCCTTATTCCCCCTCCAACAAAGACATTCCTAAAGCAGAAGTAACACCCAAGAAAGAGCCTCCTAAATCCAAAACTCCAAAAGTAATCGAGAGCGACCTCATTAGGACATTCAGAGCCATGTCAGACTTGGAAATTGGCATGTATGCCTTAGTGGGGGTCTCTTGTGTAGCTATCTTGGCTTTTTTGCTCAACTGTGTTTCATATAACCTCTGTTTCCGGAATCACAAGACCCCCATACAGGCAGGCCCAGCACCCAGCGGGGACCCGAAGGATCACAAGCATGACTGGGTGTGGCTGGGGAGCAGCAATCATAACGCTCCCGCCCCAGGTGCCCCAGCTCAAGTGTCCACGCTAAAACGTGAGGCTCATCGCCCTCTGGAGTCCCGTCACTCCATGGACTCCATTGGCCACCGCAGCATGGAGAACACCCTGCCCTGTGTGAGTGGCACCGCTGTCCCTGAAAGAACTGCCACCTTGGGCCGCAGCAGGACCAGCTCCCAGCAGCAGCAGTTTCAGGGAAAGGCAATCGACCCCATGGCGAACCGTTCAGCCACCTTGCTGGCCAGGCCACATCGCAGCGAGCCGCTTCATTCCCCTACCAGTAAGCGGAACCAGGTCCAGTTCACCACCTTCACTACACTCGACATCAAGCATTTGGCTGCACTAAAGAAGAATGGTGTGGACTTAAACTGGGCCAACCAGCAGGCGCAGCAACACCATGCCCCTGCAGAGCCCCAGACACCTTTACCTGAGATGCCGTGGCCTGTAGTCAAACCTCTGGGAGAGCCCCAGTGAGTTTGTCGGGGTGTGTGTGTGTGTGTGTGTGTGTGTGTGTGTGTGTGTGTGTGTGTGTGTGTGTGTGTGTGTGAGTATGAGTGAGTAAGAGAGAGAGGTAAAACAAGTGTAATCTGGTGTAGAATGACTAAAAGAAAAGCAGCTGGCTTTAGTTTTTTTTTTTTTGATAAAAGATGAATCACTTTAGGTGATGTGTTTATTGAGATTAGATAAAGGACATTTTATATTAAAAAGTATGTGCTCAGTGAAAGCCTGTAAATAGATTATGTAATGGTGTACCCATGAAGAGCAACATGAGAGATACTGTGTTAATTTTTTTGAGATTCAAAGCGATTAGCATGACTTTATCCTCTAAATGCAAGATTCTTGTATTTGAAAGTGTGCTATCCAGATCTGATGTTGTAAATATACATATATCTATACTAATACTTATTTCTACATTTGAAAGCAAATGCATTTTCATTTCCTTTTTCTTTTGTACAATTCTGTTGCTCCTGTAGAAACGGCTCCACATATTGCTAGTTGTCAGGGTAAATGCAGTACGGGAGGGATTATTTCTTGTAAGTAATTCTATTCTTTTCCAGCCTTTTGTACTTTTTTTTTTCTAGGATTCCTCCAGTGAATACCTGAAGAGTCTGTGCAATTTGTCAGAGAATATGCAACATTTATCAAGTTATTTTGAGCAATCTGTCACTGTAGTCTTCACTGGATATTTATTCAAATCAAATGCATGCTATGCAAATATAGTCTGTGCAGAGTTTGAAGTGGACATTGTTTCTGAATTTTTCAACTAACTTACCTTGGGCTTCAGGCGTCTCCTGTGGGCCTGGTTCTACAATTTGTAAAAATGTCTAATCTTGGTCTCTTGACACAGCGAATACATATTCAACTATATTCAAGATTTTTCATCTGTGAAGAAAAATGATGATGCCTTTTCTATGTAACATCCTCTTATTTTTAAACCAAAATGTGACGTGTATTTCCTATGAGATCCTATCAATAAAGAACAAATGGATACATTTGTCATAGTTTAATACCGGTTTAATTCAATCATTGTTTTTAAAGCCTTTAAAATAGTAAAGTATCATTCATAGGGAAGCACTGTGAATGGTTTGGATTATAGGCTAAAGCTCTGCTATGAATCAGAGGGATTTAATTATGTTTAATCACTCTTGAATGTGACTTAAGGCTGATGTCATTCAGCGAAACGTCATCCTGACAGATACATATTTGATGTGCCTGCCAATATTGAGATTCCGTGCTGCTGCAGAAAGCAAGAGAGTGATGGGAAAAGAGAAAGTGATTCCCATTTTGCGTATTGTGACAGTGTCCCCCAAAGAATTAATGGTATTTTATCAATGCTGGAGGCTTGCATATGATAACTCACGGCTCATTTGTCTCTTTTTCTCCATCCTCCTTCCTGTGTCTCTGAGGTGACCAGCGCTACACTTCTCAAAATTACATTCTCAGAGCTATGATGCATAAACAGCGTCCCCAGCTTAAAAAAGCCCAGATAATCTGATGCCCTGCACCTCAGGAATTGGCAGCTGTGGATATGACAGCAAGCATCGTCGCTCCCACTGCACGACAGCATTGGGTGGATTTAAAGTGTTGATAAAAGCAGTTTTAATAACTTTCTCCCAAATTCTCCACCTACAGACTCGGGTGTGTTTGTATGTGTACAAAATCTCTCCCCTTTCCAGTTGATTTATCTGTCCAGCAGCGGCAGGAAAAGTAAACAAACTCCCCTCGGAGATAAGCAGTGATTCAAAGCTGTCTCTGCGGTGCATCATGGTCCGGCATCTTTGATTGCAGACCTGCTCTATCATATAGGACACAGAATTCAGAACTCAAACGTTCTGACACACAGTAATGATTAAGCTATAAAAGCTGCACAGTTTGTATGACAACAATGGAGAAACAAAAATCCTGTAGCCTATTCCTCATCCCTTGCTCCCCCATGTAGAAACTGAAAACAAAAGAAATATCTATGTGAAGTATTTGGCTTCATCCCAATTCTGGGAGGGCAATTCAGTTAATCATGTTCATCACGCAAGCTTTGGCTGCAATAGGAGTTTGTCTTGAGTGGCTGGGAAGGAGCATAATGAAGTATAATTCAGGTTACTTTAATTTGGCAGTAATCCATTGATACATATAATTCCTGTTACATTACTTTGGCGATAATCCATTGAGATACAAGCCTATGGACATAGCAGTCAGGGCTAATTTGCATATAATGAAGTATGTAAATCATAAACTGTGTGGGTTTGTCTTGTAAACAACAAGACAAACCCAAAGAGTCCTTCAGTATCATTACAGCCGGATCTCTAATCTGGAGCATCAGCTTCCCTATTGACAGATTTAAGGGATTGGGGTCATTGTGTTGGAGGATTAGTGTGCATTAGTGGACCCTCTCCATGGCACGGTCCTGATAATGTAGGCCAAAAGAGACAAGGTCACTTATTTCACAAGGCTGCTTTCCCACAGGTTTGACACATGGTCACAGATGGAGGCAGGTGTTTGTGGGAAGGTGTAGCTGCAAATGGAAAAACTCAATGGTGAAAATGGACTGTAGTTAAGATTGTATATAGAGCTATTGTGCGGTCCGTTTAACTGAATGGATATAAAAATTATTGTGATCTTTAAAGGAGAACATCAGAAAGAGAGAGATAACAAAGATAGACAAAAGATGACAGGCACACGCACAAGTCAGTACTAAGATGGATAAGGAGATGAGAGAGGTAACTCTCATATCACAGGTGGAGGGGAACTCAGACAGTATGGCAGCTCATTAAGACAAAGTACCTTGTGCTTCCCCGCTACACTCGTCGTTGTCACTGCTTGTCAGCACAGTGTCAGCGCTCTGCGTGCATCAGAAGATTATGTCACAGATTTTCACAAAGAAGAGGACAAAAAGCAAAGGAGAAGTTCTCTGTGTTAATGAGACAGACTGAAGAAAACAGCTTTGTCACAGCAAAAGATGGGACGGCCATAAGTGACAGAAGAGGAAGCTTAGCTAGATGAAACAGTGTGTAGACAACAGGCAAATCAGTGTGGTCACAACAGCTGCTGTATTTGTAGTTTATCTGAGTGAGGAGATAATATACAACACATATAACGTTTATAACTAAGGGTGCTAAATAAAATGAAATTGCAAAATGGGAAGGGAGGATGAGGGTGGAAGGAACAGAGAGAACTCAAACGACAGACCAAAGAATCACTGCATGGCTGCCTGCTCCACAGAAAGTGTTTGAATTTTTAAATGATCCCAGTTATGATTGTTTCTTTGGTGTTCGGGGAAAGAATTGTACAGGAAAAAAATGTTTCCCAAAGTAAGTTTTGTGCTGAAGCACTTTATAATTCCCCACAGTCACTAAGCCAGATCCTTTTCACCATGTCAACATGAGCCCCAGGAGCATGGTCATGTAGACAATTATAGACGTGTGCATATTTTAATTTAAAACATGGTGGATGATTAAATCTGTCTGGACTTCTGAGACCATGTTAAGCAGGTAATGTTTACCAAGTACGCCGTTTTAGTATGGCAAAGTAAAGCTTAGACTGATGGGAATGTGATTGGTTTTGCAGGTCTTCATCTCAGGCCAGCCCAACATCGATGAAATATTTCACTTTGAACCAAATATGTCAACCTCTAGCGGCAGTAGAGGAGAAGTCAGGGGATCATTAAAGTCAGTAGGATTTGTCGTCTGGGAACTATGAATGTCTGTACAAAATGTAATGCCAGAGGAAGTGTCCTCCGAGGACTCTGAACGTCTGTTCTGTACTTTTATAGCAATCCATCTGATAGTTGTTGAGATAGCTACTTTAGTCTGGGCCACAGAGATCCTTAATACTACTTAAAAGATCACAAATATATACAGCAAAAATAAATACACAAATTCTGCATTGTAGAATGGTAAAAAGTTTCTCAAAATGTGATTCATGATTTTAATCATTAGAAAAATAAAGGATCCTGCAACTGTAACAGTAATAAATAATAATAATAAAAAAGAAAATACTAAAAAAATTATTCAAAAGTAATAAATAATGGCTGACTAAACCAACAAATGACACAATGAATCATCAGTCTCTAAATCTAAAAATATATGGAAGCCAAATATAAATAACTTTATATTTACTGATAAATTATTGTATCAAAATACAATGACAGAAAAATATAAGATATACAAGTGCAAGGGCATTGGTCAAAATAATACGTGTGCACTCACATTCAACATCAGGCATTGTGGCACAAACAAGCAATGTGCAATAGAAAGAAAAAATGGTTTATATAAAGAGAGGCTCTGACAGAGTTCTTTTTTCAATAGCAGGCAAGTCAATAGTGTCTGATTCAATTTTCATATTCTGAAAAAGAATCAGGACTTTATTCAGTGAAAAATGGGTTTCAGTCAAAGCAAACAAACACCAAAGATGCTGCAAGGCTGGCAGCTGTTAGGTCTACATTGATAACCATAAATAAAAAAAGTGCACAGTGACCTTCTGCTTGTGTTGCAATTTTGAATGGACATGTCTGTCCCTGTGCATGGGTGTAGACTGAAGCAATACACTAATATCTAGGGGAAAATGTTGCATACAACATAATTTTCATACTTTTATTATAAGACATATACTCTATGTATTCATAGGCCAGAATGAAAAAGATTGTAAATGGTTAAAAAAGGTTTGATAATATCCCATCACATTTACAGTTTCAGAAATAACATAATAATTTGTCCATTGTAAAATAAATCTATATATTTTGTATGTCGTGCCATACATATACATTTAGTAAGTAGACAGAGAGTGATGGTGATATATCAGAGATTATAAACTTTTTTAAATTAGTTTTTTCCTATTCTCATAACTTGCTCGTATTCATTGTTATCAAAATCATCATCTGTGTGAAAAACACACCTGCAGCAAATTAAATTGATAAAGGTTAAGGTTGATTTCGGTGCTAATGCAAAATTAGATGCTTTTTCTGAGCTTTCCAACTCACACACTAAAATCTGATGAACAAATTGTTATTAATTATATTAGCTGCAGCTGTGTTCACTGTGATATTTGTGAAGTGTAGGAATTCAAGAGCAGTACTGTGGATGAGCTCCATGAATAGATATACTTCCTGCTCTTTTAATGTCCAGTTTATAGTATTCCTGAGTAAGTTAGTAGTATTTCTGATTAAGGAAATACGAGCTTTTAAATGAATATCATTAAACATAAACATAAAACGATCAAATCTACTACAAAGTTCGCATTAGATTACACAGCTGTGGTGGGCGGATTAAAATTGTCTATGGGACGACGAGTGTTGCATTTATAGTAATCCTGCCACCACCGATGTCACAGAAGACTTTCACACATCACAGCAGAGTTGGGTTCTTTTCACCTCCAGCACCTTGCCTCAGTGATCTGATTTTATTTTTCTAAGGTTGTTAATGTGTTGCACACAACTACACCCAGTTTGGAAAAGCCATGAAAGACTTCTTTATGCCTCCTCATTAGGAAAACATATTGGCTGATTGCTGTTTGTTGCTTTTTATGAGTCGCATGCTACTACATTGCCACCAGAAATAATAGGTCGGTGCCTTCAAGAAAAATGAAATGATGGGACTGCATAGCAACTCAGACGCACCATGGCGACATTAAAGGTGTTTGTAATGGAATAGTTGTATTCATCCCTGAGATAGCTGCAGGCGCCCGTCTGGCTTCGCAGTTACTTTTCCACCTCATTTCAGATCTGAAGAGCAGAGTTTGTCTGTGTGTGTGAGTGCGTGAAAAATATACACACACCCATGCTTGCACACAGAAAGTGTGAGTGTGTGTGCGACTGTGCATGTCTGTGGAGGTGTAGGTTAAGGTAAAGGAGACAGAAGTAGTCCATCAGACGCGGCAGAAATAAGGAAAACATATGACAGGTTGCAAGGTTGGTTGAGTTTCTTGAAGCTCACACAGATGTTTGAATTTTTCTTTTTTTAGCTGAAGAACATTTTTAAGCAACAGTAAGCATCAATGTTTCATCTGCAGCATCCCC